AGGTTGCCGACGTTTAATTTGTGTGCTTGCAAAGCTGTGCCTGCTGCATGAATGACCCTGGTTTTCTGTGCATGCGTGAAACCTGCGATACATGAAGCGCCCCAGAGGGTTCCATTAGGCCAGAGAGTTTGTGCTTTCAGTGCATTGAATTCCCTTCTGCAATCTTTTCTTGCTGTGCTTTGCACTGACGATGGGGAACCTTCATATCTTTTGTACCATTTAAGGTGTCTTCACACATGTGCATTCATCACTGGGTGACAAAAAGGGAGGAACAGAGTGTGCAAAACAGCCACAAGGGGAGATGCAGGACTCTACAGCCCCACTTAGCTCCCTCTGATTGCTGAGGTTTGGAGAGGCGCTGAATGTGACAAATACCAGCATGGGGAGGAGGACAGCAGAGCAGAAATGGTTCATTCTCCATCCCTCAATGCTGCAGCCTCAATCCAAATCATTCAATTCATGACTGCTTTGATTTTTTTTTTTTTAAGAAGAGGCAACACCCATGAGCAATCCTATCCACGCGTGTCTAATTTGGCTTGTTCCTTTTTATACAGAGCCCATCTCTCTCAACCCGAGTCTCCTGTTTTAATTGCTGTATTGATTTAATGGGATTGCTTTATCCTGCCTTTTAATTGTGGATGCTTCTATTTTAATGTTTTAATGGGGTTGTTTAATTATGGATGCTTACATTTTAAGGTCTGTGTAACAGGTGTGTTTTTTATTTTATACCTTGTAACCACTTAGAAGCCAGCTTTGGCATTAAGCAGTATATTAATGGTTTAATTCATTAATATAGGCAAAGGGATGATTGCACAGAACTTCCCCCTCCATTGAAGTTACAAAGCAAAACACCTTTGCAGGCGGAAGGAAGCCTCTGGGGGCCAAATTAGGCACAATCACTTCAAGTGCTATGTCTCCATCTACAACCATAAATAGCCACTGAAACCTCACTATCAGTATTGCAGGAACCAAGGGATGCATCTTACTGCAGTCCTGGTGAAACCCCGCCCCCCAGGTGCTATTCACTGTAAGGTGGACATTGCCTTTGGCACCAGTGGATGTTTCCCTCCATCAGCAAACAGTAGCTTTACATACCCTCCAACATTTCTCCGATGAAAACAGGGACGTCCCATTCCATAATGGCAGTTTCACTATTTATACCCCACATATCTTACTGGGTTGCCCCAGCCACTCTGGGCAGCTTCCAGCATACATAAAAACATAATAAAACATTAAACATTTTTAAAAAAACTTCCCTATACAGGATTGGGGGGGTCAAATAATTTCACACCCTCCAACATTTCTCCTGTGAAAACAGGGACGTCCTATTCCAGACCCTCCAACATTTCCCTGATGAAAATAGGGGTATCCTAAGGCATGGGTAGGCAAACTAAGGCCCAGGGGCCAGATCCAGCCCAATCGCCTTCTAAATCCGGCCTGCGGATGGTCCGGAAATCAGTGTGTTTTTACATGAGTAGAATGTGTCCTTTTACTTAAAATGCATTTCTGGGTTATTTGTGGGGCCTGCCTGGTCTTTTTACATGAGTAGAATGTGTGCTTTTATTTAAAATGCATCTCTGGGTTATTTATGGGGCATAGGAATTGGTTTATTCCTTTTTTTTCTAAAATATAGTCCAGCCCCCCCCCAAGGTCTGAGGGACTGTGGACCGGCGCCTTGCTGAAAAAGTTTGCTGACCCCTGTCCTAAGGAAAAGTGGGACATTCCAGAATCAAATTAGAAACTGGGATGGCTTCCGTTAATCAGGGATGTCCTTGGAAAATAGGAACATTTGGAGGGTCTGGCTTTGGGTGTGAGATTCATTGGGACAAAGGGGAGGGAGGAAAGAATTAAATCTCTCCCCATCTCTCTCTCTCTCTCTCTCTCTCTCTCTGTGTCACACTCACCCACCCACACACACACACACACACACACACACACACAGAGTGCAGTGGCTTTTTAGGGTTATAAAAGGAGACATGGTATGTGAACCAACACATTTAGTGTGTGTTTTAGCTATCTACATGTATGAGTGTAGAAAAATAATTGAAGTGGAGTTACTTTGTGAAAGCAGTTCAACTGAAATAAGCAGGGTTCACTTTCAGGTGGGCTGTGCTGCAAGAGCCAAACCACCAGCTCTGTTCAACCCCTTGCACTTTAGAAAAGCTGGGAGCCTGCAGGTACAGCTCCAAAGTCCAAACGGATACCCCGGGGTTCTTGCTAAACCACAATATCAATAAAATCAGTGGGAGTTGCAGACATCACATCACAGGGACATGGTGCATTCTTTGGCTTTTCAAAAAACATCTGCGTACGCTACTATCATGTGATAAATTGCACAGTTAGAAGAGGAAATAGTTTTACCAAAACATTTTATGATGGTGTTAGCAATCAGAAATCTCTAAACCTCTGTGTGTGTGTGTGTGTGTGTGTGTGTGTGTGTGTGTGTGTGTTTTATAATACAACAACAGCAGCAGCACCTCAAAGCATGCAATGAGTTGGTGGTGATGGTAGGATTTGAACCCAAGTTCCTTAGATCCAGGACTATTGATTTTGTCCACATCATCACACTGGCTTATACTTCAACAATTTTAGAATTTTGAAATCTGTGTCTATCCAAGTGAAGAAGAGGAGTACTATGACTTCAATCCAATCCTGATTTACTTACCAGAAAGCCCTACTGAACTCAATGAGCCTTACTTCTGAGTAGACCTGTTATACTGCTTAGAACTTGCACTTGATAAGCTATTCCGTTCTACTCTGTGAGAGTCCTCTCACAGAGATGGTATATCTTTTTAAAAAATCAATGGAGAAATCAATACATCTTACCCAGGTTATCAAAAGTGCTCTTAGATGCTTAAGTTGCTAAATAGCAGTTGGATCAACTTAGATGTATCTCACATCCTTCATTTTCAAAGTGAAAGGCAGTTCAGATTTTTTTTAAAAAAGAAGAAGATTGATTAGCAGTTTGCACAGAGACACCAATTTATTTCATATTTCGTATCGCCCCTCATTTTAATTGATTGGCATTTATTAAAAGCAAAACCGAATCAATTACCCCAGCCACACAATCATGGGAAATCAAGTCATATAGAACTGCCCTTGCATTTTATTTCTGAAACAAAGTGGCATTATTAATGAGGGTCTATGAGAAAGAGACCTTCAGGAAAAAACCAACAATGGGCAACGGAGTGTATAAAGAGGGAACAAAGACTGGAATTCACAGCAAGCTATTTCCACTGGATTTCATATCTCATCAATACATTATATTTCATGTGCATACAAATTATTTTTCATGGCAATTCTAAGAGGTAAATGGGTTGGCTTCATAATAAGTTAGGTGAGTTTAGGTCTATTGAAATCAACAGGGCAATTTAGCTCACTGATTTTAGTAGGAACGAAATTCAATTAACTTAGTCTGGATTCAACTCAGTATATTGGGCTCGGATATAAAGATTCAAATGAAGGCTGCTACCTCCTTCTTCTTTTTGGCAGCTTTTGAGTTTCCAGCAGTTCTAATGTGTCTGCATGCACATCAGCAGGGATGCAATTCTGCAACCGAGCCACTGAATTTGTTAGAGGTGTGGTTGTGTAGTCCTTCGAGGCATGGCTGTGTAATCCAAAAGGGGTGCTTATCTCGACCAGACCAGCTGTAATGTGCTTCCCCACTTGTGGTGTAGTGGTTAAGAGTGGTGGACTCATAATCTGGCAAACCGGGATCGATTCCCCGCTCCTCCACATGCAGCTGCTGGGTGACCTTGGGCTAATCACACTTCTCTGAAGTCTCTCAGCCCCACTCACCTCACAGAGTGTTTGTTGTGGGGGAGGAAGGAAAAGGAGATTTTAGCCGCTTTGAGACTCTTTCGGGTAGTGATAAAGCAGGATATCAAATCCAATCTCTTCTTACTGTACGTAGCCTAGAAAAAGGTGGTTATCCCAAAGATGTCATAGACAGGACTCAGCAGGTATTGGAAGAAGGGATGCCAGGGTTAAACATCTGGAAAAGAAGCAGAGGTTGTTCCATTGGAGGGTATTAAGATGGTGGCCAACATTTCCAATCAAAGTTAATCCAGTGTAGAAAGATTTTTAAATGCTTGTTTTCCTGATGTAAAATGCAATCCCTGCAAGGATGTCCTGGAGGTCTGAGGTTATAGAGGAAAGTGAGTGAAAAGGGTCTCTTTCAAAAGCCTCTCGATTGCGAGTATATAAATGCACACCATCATTGCTGCTGTTCTCTGGTAAGTGGTAAAAAGGGAGCATGCGGGGGGGGGGGGGCGCAGATCAGGGGAGGTCTTGGATTCACAATATCAAAAGCCCTCCTATTCCCCTGAGCAAAGATCGCCAGTGTCGAAGCAATGATTCCACAACATCAACTTCATTGGACTGGTCATGTTGTGCAGATGCCTGATGATCGTCTTCCAAAGCAACTACTCTATTCTGAACTTAAAAATGGAAAGCGTAATGCTGGTGGTCAACAAAAGAGGTTTAAAGACTGTCTCAAGGCAAATCTTTAAAAATGTAGTAGAAACACCAACAATTGGGAAACACTTGCCTGTGAGCGCTCCAATTGGAGAACAGCCTTTACAAAAGGTGTCATGTGCTTTGAAGGTGCTTGAACTCAGGACGAAAGGGAGAAACATGCTAAGAGGAAGGCATGTTTGGCAACCCCTCACTGTGATCAACTTCCACCCGGAAATCTATGTCCCCACTGTGGAAGGACGTGTGGATCCAGAATTGGCCTCCACAGTCACACTCACTGTTAAGACCATGTTTATGGAAGACGATCTTGGTTATGAGTGATCGCCAAAGAAGAAGATTCCCTTGAGACTGGAATGTTTATTTTCTCTCCCATTGGCATCAATAGATCTTCTATTGGGAGCCGCCCAGAGTGGCTGGGGTAACCCAGCCAGATGGGCAGGGTATAAATATTATTATTATTATTATTATTATTATTATTATTATTATTAGAAAAGAAAAAGGCTGAAAAGAATGGACAAAAATCACACACACTTTATATCCTGTTGGTGTGGGTCCAGCAGGACTTGGCAGTTCCTTCACTTCCAACTCTCCCACCTCCAAAGGATTGCTCTGTCCACTAACAGCAAAAGCCTGCCGACCGCATGTTCTAGTGATATTTTGGAGAGAATTGTCACTTTCAGACAAGTAAAATCCATCACCCTTCTATCTATATTTGGCTTGTAGGCTTAGGGAAGTGTGATGGCAGTTATTAGCTGCTCAACGCAAATCCTGCAGCCTGCAAAACATTGAGAGGTGCCTGCATCCTCATTTATCTTTGCTTGCGTATCATTCCCTATATTATATTTGGGCTCTTTCTAAAGATTCGGTGTTATTGTTAACTCTTATGATTTCTTTGCGTTTAAAGTTATAGGGATTCATGGACTCTCCATCTCGGCATCAAAAGATGCTAAACTGCTAGGCACATATAGGATAATTATATCACACTTCCGTGATCAAGAGGTGAAGGAATAAAACACCTCAACCATTAATGCCAGGAGCAATGGCTTCCACTTTGAAACTGCTGCACTTCTGATGTGTAGATATTGCAGAAGAGACAGAATTATTAACTGCACAGTGATAGGTTTTTGAGTGCACCTTGTCCTTCAAGGTCTGTCAATGAACACAAAGCCAATAACCTGTTTGCACAAGGTAACTGAATACATTTCACCTCGATAACTGGTGATGAGCCATAACTTTTCCATGTGCTTCTTTGCAAATGGCGGAACATGGTATACAAAGGAATGGACATTCAGGGCTGTGGCCTCAATTGAACTGAAGGAGGAAAATGCTTGTGCAGGACATTATCTTGGCACCATTGTCTTGGAATACATTCATGCGTGAAGGTGGCAGGAACAAAATGAACAGATCCCTTTTTATTCTTCCTAAAAAGATGACCAGGGGTCTGGAAATCAAGCCTTATAAGGAAAGGTTGAAGGAGCTGGGAATGTTTAACCTGGAAAAGAGGAGATTGAGAGGAGATATGATAGCCATCTTCAAATATCTCAAGGGCTGTCACATGGAAGAGGGAACAAGCTTGTTTTCTCCTGCTCTGGAGGGTAGGACTCGAACCAATGGCTTCAAGTTACAAGAAAGGAGATTCTGACTAAACATCAGGAATTACTTTCTAACACTAAGAGCTGTTGGACAGTGGAACAGTCTCCCTCTTGAAGTTGTGGACTCTCCTTCCTTAAGCAGAAGTTGGATGGTCATCTGTCATGGATGCTTTAGCTGAGATTCCTGCATTGCAAGGGGTTGGACTCTTCCAACTCTACAATTTTATGATTCTATGAAAAGAAAAAGACAGAAAGGGGGACATGGTTGTTCCCTTCCCTCTGCCCGGTTGGCCTTCTCTCTTCTCACCTTACCAGGTGTTGGTGGTGACAGCAGCAGTCACCGCAACAGCCTTCATCTCCCGCTTTCTTCTCACAGCAGAGGGTGCGGCTCTTGGGCAGTGAAGAAGCTCTAGATCAGGGCACTTAACCCATTATGACCCAAGGGACACATTCACCCTGGACCAAGCCTCTGGGGGGGCCAACAATGGATGTGGCTATCCCACACTCTCTCACATGCACACACATCCCCACAGGCAGGATGGGGGAGAAATGCAGTTCCTTTCGCGCTTAAAGGCAAATCTATTGAATTTGAACTTCCCAAAACAATATGAGAGAGAGAGCTAACACGCACCCACTGTTTACAATTCGCACTTATCTGAACTTTGCAATGCAGTTAGTTAGCAAAAAAAAGATGTGTATATTAAAGTGCACATAAAAATGCATATATTGGTGGAAAGAACACACAAATAGCATTAAATTAGGAGAAATTGCTTGCAAAAATGTGTGCATTACTTCAAGCTGCATACACATTTTTGTGTTCACTAGGAGAAATTTGCACTAAAATGCTGATGAATTTGCATGAGGATTTTTAATTATTATTTAAAAGAAATCACAAATGGATGCAGAAATGCAGAAAACTGAATTTGATGGGGAAAGTTAGAAACAGGTACAACCAAAATGGACAGGTCCGAAACCGCCCCCCCCCCCAAGCCACAGGATGCACAGAAGCAGATGAATTCCAACTCGGTTGATTTGTGCTATTTTCTGCTCTCCATCCACCAATTGATTGTTTTTCTTTTCACATGAGCCCAGAGGCACAGCACTCTGGGAAATGAACCTGGTAGGCACAACTGCTTGAAGCGTCTTTGCTCCACAGCAGTAGCAGTCTGTGAAAAGTAAATAAATGGGTAGGGAAGACATTGTAGTGACTGCCAGAGGTGCAACACTGTTCTTTTGTAGCAGGGGCTGGTTTGTGGTGCCTGGTGGTACCATTGGCACACAGCCTAAGGCAAGAACAGCTAGTTCATATAGATAGAAAATGCACAATAATCAGCACACACTAAATAAAACAAATAGCATTTTTTTTGGGGGGGGGGGAGATAAACCTTCAATTTAAGATAAGGCCAGGACTGTCACAGAATTAATTATTTGCTAAATGCAGGATAAAATAACATTTCAACCAAGTTATATTACTTCTGCTTTTGCTTGTTTTCAGTCCTGAAAAATGAAATATAAAACCAATGGGGCTGAGATCTGATCAACACATTCAGGAAGATCATTTTATAAAGCCCTCTTGGAATGGTATGACTTAGAAATGCAGTGACCGGTTGCATATTCAAATAATCTCCTCTGTGGCAAATGCCCCGAACACAGAAAACTCTGGTAGGGCTACAGCAGAAACCATTCATCCTAAGAGGCCCATTTTGTCACAGGTGGATTTTTTGAACTGACGCAGCTGAACATTCAGTCAAATGATTCTCCCACAGTCACAAGAAGCTGGGAATAATGTGCTTTCCCCCTGAATATACAAATCAACCTTTACTTCAAGCAGTGTGTTGGGGACTGTCTGCCGGTATAAGAAAAACTGAGCCAGTGGAGCCATTTATAGGAGTCCGCATGACTTCAGCCTAAGCTATTTATGTCAGTCACTTGGCATTTAATATGTACACTCCAAAAGTAGCTGCACAGAGAAAAGGATAGCCTCCTGCCTTGTTTATTCAAGACACATACTTGAATTAAAACATATTTGTGCCTTTTTAAAACAAAAACTTTTTATTGACCATGAAGAATAAGGTCTTTGGTTCAATGGGTCCATTTGCCATACTCTTTGTTTGCCGTGTGATAACTCAGGTAAACACCGAGATATTGAAACTAAACTTTGCACATATGTTCAAGACAGAATTCCATACCTGAAGTTTCAGGCATCCACAAAACTCCCACCCCCACTTTAATGTGAGGGGAAATGCAAAAGACAATGCAACACAACATTTGCATTCAACACTGTGACGTCGGAATGAAAGTTTGTGTACACATTTCGAATGCTGTTCTAAGTTTTCAGGAGGGACTGTAAAATAGATGGCAATGTGATATCTGAAAAGAGGTCTCTCAGACACTGTGCCTTACTAACTAGTATAATTTGTATTTTGAATTATGGTAATTGTCTCTAAATGGTTTCATCTCAGGTACCAGTAGTTATCTGTATAAGCATGTTCTCTTCCATCGCTAATCTCCCACTAACATTTCTAATCTTTCATCAAGTTAAATCTAAATTTATTAGCTGAGTTCTCTCTACACACGCTCCAGCTTCTCAACATCCTTCCTAAATTGTGGCACCTATAACTGGATGCACTATTCCAATAATACTAGCAAGAATGACTTCTAGAAAAGGATGGCACTTTTTCAGATGGCATAAAGACCCCACATTATGAATAAACATTTATGTCATTGGCTTCCCAGTCCATAGTTCCACATGAGTGTGCCTAAAGAATACATTAACTGTATGGTATAATAGCCAATGCTTCTGGTTTATTCCTGTTGAAGCAGAAGATATGAGATCAGACTATCCCCATTACAATGATAAGTTCATTGTTAATAAATGTAAACAATGCAATGAACTTCACACTGAAATAGGACTATACAATGTGTTGACAGTCATATCATCGTTTCAGATTATATCAGCAGTAACTGCAGTTTTGTAAAAGTCAGCAACTCTTGCTTTATTATTGAATAAAGAAGAATGTACAGCACTAACAGCTTAAAGCTTTCTAAAGGGTAGCTATTTGCAATCATTATTGTTAAAGATAATGCTGTGAGGTTTGCTAAACAATTCCTGAACAATCACTTAGATGAAATGGTTTGTGATTTCCATGCAGCGATGTTGACTGTATTCTCTGAAGCATCATTTGCAACTGTTGAATATAATATTGACAGTGTAAAAACCAAAAGCGAGAGACACCCCCAAGCAACAGCTGTGACAATAAAAGACATCGGTTCACTGATTTGCAGTACAATCTCAGTCAAGTCTGACCCTAAGCACTCTTAATGCAAAACCAATTTCCATTAAAATAAATGAGACTCATTTCCAACAAAGCCCCAGTATTACACCACTGTCTTTTACAGCAAATACTTTTATCACGTTGTATTTGTTACAGTATGAATTGGTCATCAGGGATGAAATGTCCAGCTGAATTAGTCCAGTCCAAGTGCAAGTAGCATCCTCTCAGGTTCTGAAAGATATAGCTGAATGCATCTCCACTCTGTTGATTGAAAGGGCAGATACATAAGGAAGCAGGGAACATCTGTTGAACATTCAGGAAAATGTTCTGCTGTACAGTTGAAGAACATAACCCATAAAACAAATCCACGGAGTTCCATTTTGCTTCCCTGAATTGTATCACAGATGAAAACTTTCCATGGGAAAAACCAAAGTTAACCTCCAACCCTGGGAAAGCATTTTCACAATTAGCCCAGAGCATTTCCCAGAAGGGATCCCAAAAGTAGGGATTCATTTGAGAAGGCAAAATGAGTATCAAACAAGAGCAGTTTCCCGACGGTGCAAGGTAAGATGTGCTGTGATGTGGGTCATATTCCCTTTGGCGTCCTTGTTGGTGCAGTCTGCGGTGTTGCCGACAGTCACCACACACAAAATTGTTTACATTTGCCAGATGCTCCAGTAATTTCCTTTGCCGTCTTCACACCTTTCCACTTTGATAAAGCAATCATTTAGTGAAAGATTATGCCTGACACTGTTTTTCCAGCTTTGGCCTCTCTTCCTGTAAAAATAAATATTTTCTTCAATATATTTGTAAATAGCAGCTAAGGTGAGCTTCCTTGTAGGTGAGGAAAGAATCACATTAGCGATCAAAGTGATGTAAGCTAGTGGTGGCTTCTCTGGAGCATCTTTGGTTATGCGTTTTGATAGACTCCTTTTGGCATATAGCACACCAATGGCTGGTCTGGGAGAAATTCCATTGGATGCGTCTACCTTTTCTTGGTAGGTTCCACAGGTGTTTGGAATGTCTGTGCTGCTCTCAAAGTTGCCAGTCATTGCAGTAGTCCTGAATTCCCGGGTTACTGCTTAGGTTTTACAGTATTTTATGGGAATATTTTTGGTAAAAGTATTCATTTGATATAGCCGCTTGCAGCCAAAGTAAATGAGGTACATGCAACCTAAATGGGTGTTCAGCTCCAGCTCATATTCTGCTCTCTCTTTTATACTGGGTTGGCTATCCATATTTACAAGAAACCAACAAGAAAGGCATGAAGATAAACAGACTGCCATTCCCTTCTGTATAATCTGGGAAAACACCCTTCAGTGTTCCCCACTGAAAGCCAAGGACTGAAGAAAAAAAAGATCACAGTTTGATAGCATTGTGAAAGGGTTAGACCACGGGTAGGTAAACTAAGGCCCAGGGGCTGGATCTGGCCCAATCACCTTCTAAATCCGGCCCACGGATGGTCCGGTAATCAGTGTGTTTTTACATGAGTGGAATGTGTCCTTTTATTTAAATGCATCTCTGGATTATTTGTGGGGCCTGCCTGGTGTTTTTACATGAGTAAAATGTGTGCTTTTATTTAAAATGCATCTCTGGGTTATTTGTGGGGCATAGGAATTTGTTCACCCCCCCCCCAAATATAGTCTGGCCCTCCACAAGGTCTGAGGGACAGTGGACCAGCCATCTGGTGAAAAAGTTTGCTGACCCCTGGATTAGACCCTTCGCTGATATGCAGAACAAACCGATATCACTGCTTGGCTCCTGTGCGTGACACCTAGTCAAACATGTTTGCATTTGACAGAACACATGCTTGCTTGATAAAAAATACAAATTGAAGTGAAATTTGTTGCGGACTTGGCTGTAATTATTTCCAGTCTATTGCACAAAATAAAAACAGAAGCTTTCATCTCTGAAGGCCTTCATTACTGATAGCCTAAACCAGGCATCCCCAACCTTTGGCCCTCCAGATGTTTTGGACTACAATTCCCATCATCCCTGACCACTGGTCCTATTAGCTAGGGATCATGGGACTTGTAGGCCAAAACATCTGGAGGGCCGTAGGTTGGGGATGCCTGGCCTAAACTTTTGTTAGTGCCTGACCAGGTTTGGTCCAAGAAGATTCCCGAGGAAGAGCAGGACCCACAGCACTTCCAGGATCTCTGAAGAGCAGTTGGAGCCTGCCATCCCAATGACACCCCATCAGTAGCACAAGAAGGCCCCACACCATCTGCCTGCCTGATCCAGTTCGAGATACCACCACCCCTGATCATTCTAGGCCCTCCTGGAGCAAAGGCTATGATGAGAAAGATTAGAATGAACAATGAAGCACCCCGTTAGCTGCACAAGGCCCACCTACCTATAGTCCTGTTTAAAAGATGAGGGATGCTCATGTAGGCATTTGTTCAGAGTGGGATCCAGCAGAGAGCCAAGAATAGGTGGAACAGCCAGCTCTATGTTTTGATCTGCTGGTCCAACAGGTCCTTGTAGGCTCTCCTGGGGGAGTCAGTGTGCTCTCTCTCTCTCTCTCTCTCTCTCTCTCTCTCACACACACACACACACACACACACATACCCACACACCAGGTGGTCGAGGAAAAGCACAGTCTTTGAGTTCAAACCTTTCTTCTTGGTAGCCCTTACTCATGATGCTGGTCACAACTTGATCCCAGAGCAATGATCTGTAAAAGAAATCTGCAAAAACAGCGTTGCCAACAAATTTAAACTAGAGTGAATTGCAGAGGGAATTTGGAAGATTCCTGCTGAAGCAAAACAATCATGTTTCCCCCATGCGACTGAAAGGCATGCATGCTGCCCTCAGCAGAATGCACAAGTGAGTGGAAAGGAGCCTGCCAGCTGGCCTCTGAATAATTATGAACAGTGCTCACAATTGGTTCATTGGGACCAAAATATTGTTTGGAGATAGGCCTTAGTTCAGACCAGAGAGAAGACTTCACTTCTCTGGGTGAGCCAGATCCTTCTCCTTTTACATGGATTTCTGCAAAGAAAACTTCACTTTACTCAATGTCTTAGGAGGTGTCTTTTTTGGTATAATTATAGCATGTATTTAAACAACCAAACTAACATGTGGTAGGCATCTGCTATCTCTTCAAGAACTTAACAAAATGGGTGGTAATGATAAAATTCTTAATAAAATGGGTGCAAATGGACTTCTTCAATATTTCCAGATAAAGAGTATCATTAAGAGGAATGAAAAATTACCTCAGTTTGGGAAAAAGACAGCATCTGAAACATTAATTGCATCAGTTAACTCAAAAGGTTTAGCAGGGAAATGATATTTTTCATCAGATTCAGATACCAGAATCTAATTACATGCAAAAATGGAAAAAGGGCATTGGGATTAATATTCTATAGAGAGAATGGATCTGAATGTACAATAATACTGTTAAAAACTTCATAAGTTGTTTGTTGAAGGAAACCTTTATTAAAAACACAGCTTCAATAGCACCTCAATACCTTAACCTCAAGATAACAGAAATGTATGAAAAAGCTGCCACTGATAAACAGTTATGTATAGTGCTATTTTTATTTATCATGCAAACACACCAGTCCATGAAATGCAAGCTTAGCAGGTGATAAGCTGACCACTACCAATGTATCAAGTGATTGTGCAGTGTGGTCCTGGAACATGTGGTCCTAGCCAGGACCAGCCCAGTACATTTTGGCACCTGAGGGAAACCACAAAATGGTGCTTGCCCATCCACCAGGGAACAAGAGGGGACTAAAAATATCTCTGCCAGGCACAAGGGGAGGAGTGAAGATCTACACGAGGCACAACAGTGGAGTGAAGTGGCAGCAACAATGAGCAATGCATTCCTTGGAAGCCAGATCTGCCACCTAAGGCGGCCACCTCACCTTGCCTCATGGGTGTTATGATACTGAAATTCTGTTCCACCTTAAGTACAGGCATGACTGTTGTGTGTCACATGCCTGTTTACACTCCAGCACAGCTTGCTGGGAACTTCCGTTTGTGTGTATTGCTATTGCTTTTGCTGCTTGCTCTTGGACATGAAGGGAGAAGACATGTTTTTCCTTTGTCCTGATGTATGCTGAATAAACTGCCTGTAAATATGCTCTCACAGCCGTCTCCTGCCACTTCTGTTGTGTGTTATTTACTGTGAAGATTAGAGCGTGCTCCAGCTTCTGAAGCTGAGGGTTGCTATTTCATGCTGAGTCAAGGACCGGAGGCTGAAGTGAAGGCACAAGACTGAGGATTGATCATCAGTGAGCTGCACACAGGTGAGCTGCATGCAAGCTGCTCGCTAGCCCTGTGGAGCCTCCTTTTATTGAGACAAATATGCAAGCCAGGCAAATACATTTTGGGCTGCGACCTTTACACATCTTCCGTCCCGAGATCGTAGGGTGGTACAAAGTTATTTTGGCACCTGTTTCCACCGCGTCATTTTCGCCTTGCACAGTATATGACGAAGGAGACAAAAGGTCTCAGGGACAAAGGTTACAGACAGGACACCACAGACTACTGAGACCACAAAAGGTCAGACAGAGGGGACGATATTCCGACAGCCGTGGCTTGTCTGAGGGGGGGTTTGCCCTGCACCCCAAGGTCACGCGTGCAGGCAGACTGTTGCTGCCTGCTGGTGGGGAGTGTGCTCCCTCCGGACCCCACTGCCCACTCCGCGATTATCCCTACAGAGATTGTCTGACTTACCGGCCGGTGGGCTGGAGCCAGCTAGGAGCTTGCAAATTGCCCCCGTTTCCTTGGAAGCCTCCCAACAATGGATGGGCCAGCACTGGTTCTAGTTGCTGGTACGAAATCCTTCTGTCTTCCATGTGCTGTGCACCAATTGACAAATCTTCAGAAAACCCACAGCTGGCTTTTGGAGCTGGAGATACTGAAGAAAAGAAGTGGTTAGCTAATAACGCATACGTGAATTGTTGAAGCAGGGATGGCTTGAATATCTGGAGGGGGCCCCTCCTGAACTTGTTGGATGCCAACTCCCATCAGTCCCAGCCATCATGGCCAATGGTCAAGATGATGGGCAATGTAGTTCAACAACATCTGGAAACCCTCCTTTTCCCCATACCAGGATAATTTTTGATAGCTTCTTGGTTTTTATTCTTATCAGCCTGCTTCTATTTCTCTTGTGGAAAGGCCAAGGAATTTGTTTGCTGCAAATGAGGTTGCCTTGGCTCAGTGAGATACAGTTTGATACACAGCACATCTGATCTAAACACACCCATGGGATAGATCAGACTGGATAAATATTTTAGCAGTTTTCATTACCTATTTTGGTGTACAGAAAGACTACACACACATTCGCCTTTTACACATGTCTCATGCATAATGAACCACCTTTTATATACATATTAAAAACAGCTGAAGATTACAAAATGAACACCTAGGACAGAGGCCTTTTCATCTTATCCGAAAGATTGCATCAATCAATTAGTTAATTAAGACCGATTCTACCTTCCATTATGGTCCAGGGACTTCCCAACTATTTATTTAAAGAATGTAAAACAATCCTAACTACAACAACTTTAAACAATTAAAACAACAACAACTAAACATTACAAAATAAAAAAGCCACGGCAACAAAAAAAGTCCAGTTTACAAAGGGCCAAGACCCTTACAAAACCATTTTACGTTCCGCTTGCCAATGTAATGTATCTAAGTACATGAAATGAAGCCTGAAAATATACTATACAAAACAGAGACGTTAAATGTCAATATGTTGTGACTACCAATATGTTGTGACAGTAAACTGGACAGAAAATTTATAGATGTTGGTGGAGCCACATGTGAGACCAAGTCAGAGAGTTCTTCCAACAGAAAACACCCCTGTTTCGTATTTTTCTTGCTTGAATTTTACTTGCTGAGATGGTGAAGAAATTCAGAAAGGGGTAAGACTTTTTTTATGCAATGTGTGGCGACTGCACAGAAAAAGAAAGGAAAAGGAAATTCCATGTGAGGGAATTTGGAAATGGATTAAAAATAAAACCGCCAGTATGATCATTCCCTTAATACAAGTCTGCAGTGTGGATCCCAAGTGCAATACGGTATACAGTTCTGCTCACCCCATCTGAACAAGGATATGTTGAGCTGGAAGGGGTGCAAAAAGGTGCAATCAGAATTCTAAGATTTGGAAAAGAAAGCTAAAGCATTTGGGGCTTTTTTACTTTTAAAAATGTGACGGGGGGTGGATAAATGCTAAGCATTTTGATAAAATTAGACATGGCATGAAGAAAGCACATAGAGAAAAAGTATTCTTACTCCTTGTCCCATAATAGAAGAATCTGGGGTCATCCAATGAAGCTGATTTGTTGGAGATTCTGAACAGACAAAATAATTTGTAATTTATGGGATTTTGTGGCAAAAGACATAGGGATAGCCTCTGGGTTAGATGACTTTAAAAAGAATTAGACAAAGTCACATGGGGTAAGGGTGGCAGTGGCTGCTAATAATGGTGGCTATATGAAACCTGCATGCCTCTGTATGCCATTTGCGGCAGAGGCATATCAGCCGGGGCTTGTTGTATTCATGCCTTGTTTTTGCGCTCCCCAGAAATACCTAGCTGGCTACTGTGGGTAACAGGATGCCAGACTAGACGGGACTTCAGTTTAATTCAGAATTGATTCTGAATACCAATATGGAGCCTGATTGTTCAATAAACATGGAATTGCACCATATGGAGTTCCTTGTTATTCAGATGTAACTGACATCAGTGTATTCACATTCCCTGAACTGCTACATTTCTGCATCAGTTAATGGACTTTTTTTTTAAGTCCTCATGGAAATTACTGTTATTGTTGTTATTGTTATTGTTATATTTCAATATATATGTTATATTGTTATATTTTTATGTTCACAACATAAAAAAATCAGCATTTCTCCTAATACATACATTTTTGCAGGCAATTTCCCCCAATACAATGCATATGCAATTTTCTTTAATATATGTATTTTTTGCAAACTGTCCCCTAAGACACACATCTTTGCACACATCTGAGTGGAGAAATTTCAAAGGACAGATGAGTTTTGGCTCATATATTGTTTCAGTTAAGTGCAATTTAGGTAGGTTCACAATAAAATCCTAACCGAACCAAATTTATTCCCTATCTGTAATCTATTCAGGGTAGGCTTTATCTCTTTTGCACAATGGGCAGGTGCTTTCTAATGCTGCCACAAAGTCATTCCATATATATATATATAAATGGGTGGAGAAAGACTATTGTAGGGGCTGGTCAAAAGATGACTCATGCAATGCCGAGAGCTACCTGATACAATGTAGTATTCAGTTATAATGGGATTATATCTGACAGGCACCATAGCAGGGCAGATTTGCCACACTTGCGCCACATAGGACACATCTGTTTTGCAGTTGCTAGCTGGCAATGATCATAACCTTTTATTAAAATCCTACAACATTCCCCACTGGCCCTCTCTCCCTCCTTCCATCTTCCCCACAATGCTTCATGTGTTTTGACACGAGGCACTTTCATCCTTAGCTTCAAGTGTAAGGGTTAGAATCAGTGCTGTTTTTCTAGAAAAAAAAGTGCCAGAACTCACCATGATCACCTCCGTTGTTCTCTTAGAACGGCAATGGAACCCACCTGAGAGGTGCTGGAACTGAGTTCCATTGAGTTCCTGCTGAAAAAAATGCATTTGTTAGAATCTTATCTTTTGAAAAGCATTTAAGCTGAAAGTATTGTGGATTTTTAGGACACTATGCATTAAACCACAGGGGGAAAACTATATAGAAAGGATATTAAATGAAACTTAAGGCAGCTATAGGAATGACAGAGACAAGGAGTGGCATCAATACCAAATTAAACCAAATTAACTGATTACAACCCTAGGATCTGTCTGCAAAGTGTTGATTAACATGGTTCACGGAGGGCAGATACTGGCACCCTGCCCTTAAAAAAATACACGCATGCAAGGCAAGTCAAACTGCCTATTTTGTGCATAACATAGAAATCTCATACAATATAGGAATCCTCAAGATGACAAAATAAACATCCCAGATCAGGAATCTATGGTTGCTTTCTATCACTTGGAATGTCAACTTAGTATATTATGAATACGTATGCTTTTATGTTTGCTTTCATGATGAAAGTGGTTTCAGGTTTTAAGTTGTTGGCTGGTTGACATCTGTTTCAAAATGGATGTTTTCACAGTAATGCTATCAGACTGAAGGCCTTTGGAGAACAGGCAAGCATAGTTAAAAAGCCATTGCTTCTATTAATAGAGCAGAGTCCCTTCTGCAATGTCAACTGTAATATTAATCCTTGTTTCAAATCACAGGTCTCAAATATCAGCTGCCACTACTCAGACGGGTCTCTTTCAGTTTATATCAGAGAACCCAATGGAGTCTTTTGAAGAACCTGGTCAGGTTAGTAGGGAGAACTTATTAGAAGTTCCCACTTTAAGTGATTCTCTCTCAGAAGATGAAGATGTTAAAGCTACACTGCAGCACCGCTTCTCCCCCAGCCCCCGGAGGCGGAATTCAGATTCTTCTGAAGAAATGGAAGCAGAAACCCCATCCACCATTGCAAGAAAAGTTTCATTTGCTGATGCATTTGGTTTTGACCTTGTATCCGTTAAGGAGTTTGATACCTGGGATGTTCCAATTACATTACCAAATGACGACTTAGAAGATGAAGTTGTGCCTGTGGAGGAATTCTATTTATCTCCACTGTTTATACTGCCTGCCACACAAGAAGAGCTTTTGCAAAAAGTGCGTGCACAGAAAGTATGGTTAGAGTCTGTCGAGTTCCTGCCAGGGATAACATGTATGAAGGGCATCATCCGTGTTCTGAATGTATCCTTCGAAAAGCTGGTCTATGTCCGAATGTCTTTGGACAACTGGCAGACATATTATGACATCTTGGGAGATTATGTGCCTAATTCTTGTGATGGCGAGACTGACCAGTTCTTGTTCAAGATTTCATTGGTTCCTCCTTATCAGAGAGAGGATGCTAAGGTTGAATTTTGCATCCGTTATGAGACATCAGTGGGAATATTTTGGGCAAACAATGACAATCGTAATTATATTTTGATCTGCCACAAAAAGGAAACTGCGCCACCAGCGGAAGAGAATAAAGCCCAGGGAGAAGTTACAGATAAAGTCCAGGAAGGTGTTACAGACAAATATATCAAAGGCTGCTTAAAGACAATACCAAGCAGGTGAGGTTGCATCTTGCACTTCTTTCCTTTTAAAAAAAGTATTGTAAAACCTCTTTCAATGATAGTTTCCCCAAAAGATGTTCCTATCTCTTCAAAGAAGGAGATGCTGTTAATAATTTTTCAAAATCTGTCCCTGTGGTTAATTTTGTGCTTCCATACTACTTTAAATAAAAGGTATATAATTATATATATATATATATATTTCCAGAGAGGTTAACTTGAGGGAAATGTAATTACCGTAGTCTTACATCCTAAGTGTATTACCAAAATAGTATGAAAGTCATAACTACTAAGTATAGGTGAAGCAGTTCATTACAGGTGAAACAGCTCATTCCTGATGCCTAAAATGTCGAGCATAGTTAGACTTTGATCACTTCCTATTTAATTTCACTGTAGAAATTTAGCAATAAACCTGCATAGTGGTTGCATACTCCTGAGAGTTTAAATGGGTTTTGACGATAGTTGGGAAATGTTTGAAGTGTTTTTAAAGGCCCATAATCCTTTAAAAACAATTATATTGGTCATAAGAGAGCTCTGGTAAAGAATTAGTCTGTCCAGGGGACACTTTGAGGTGGGAGAAGAGGTGGGAAGACCATCTAGTGTGCTATGCCACCAAGTTCTGTTGCCACAGAGACCAGCTTATCTTTCACCTTTAGATTGGTAACTTGTGAAGGGGCAGGTAGCAGCATCCTTAGGGGTCCAAGTTTGCTTCAGAGGTCTGCAGCTGTTGACTCATGCATGAGAGGAATATAGAGGAATGTATTTAGGATTTTGTTATATTTCAGTCATAAAGAAAACACACAATGTAAAGATCTATGTTTTGGTTGCTCTGAGAAAAGCAATAATCAATTTTGTTTTGTTCTGTTATTAACCATCATCTAGGCCAGGGATGGGAAACCTGTGGCCCTCTGGAAGTTGTTGGACTCCGACACCTATCAGCCCCAACAAGTAGGCTCAATAGCTAAGCATGCTGGGAGTTGTAGTCCAACAGCACCTGGAAGGCCACAGGTTCTGTACCTCTGATCTAGATTCTGCTGTTTCCTATGTGTTACCGGTGTATGTTTTGACCGCAAGTCTACAAGTGTAGGAATGTTTATTGCAGATGAAATGTTGGGTCCCTAACAATCTCCGTTATCTCAGAGATCTCAGCTATCTTTTTGCAGGTTTAAAACAAGCAGCCTGTAATGCCGCCTGCTCTGGTTACATAGATGGTTTGCTTTGTTGCCATGGCATAAAATAATGCACGGAGATGCTTACTTTGCACAATGATCCATTAGCCCTGTTGTGGTCACAATCAGAGCTGGCTCTATATCTGAGCTGCAAACCACTTGCCTAGTGGGCTCTTGACATTGGCGGGCTGCCGCAACATTGGTGGGTCCTCTTTGGGCATGTTAGTGGCAGTGGGCAGCAGTTGCGCCATGATCTGTAACAAGGAACTACCATTTCAAATGTCGTTCAATGCCCTGTGATTGTTTTGGCTGCTTTTCCATTTTACAAGGTAAAATGGGCCCAAGGGAGCACAGGTGGGTAGGCAGGCCCAATTGGCAGAAGGCATCCACAGGTGGGGATGCTCAGCGATTACCCGAAGTGCCAAGGTCTGGTGGTGGGATTGTGCAGATTGGATTTATAAGATTAGATCCAATTAAGAAGAGCCTTGCTGGATCAGACCTGACCATCCCATTCTCACAACCACCAGCCACATGCCTACAGGAAGCCCACGAGCGGGATATCAACAGAGAGGTGCCACTGAGAGCCCTGCTTCAAAGCAGTGCTTTCGGACATCCCCTTAGACTCACAACTTGTATGGTGTGAGGAGGATGTGCATGAAACACGAGTCCAAAGCCCTTTAGGGTGTGGGGAACTAGTTGTGCAGTTCTGTTGGATCCTGGCCCTGACCTCCAAACGCATAACACCTATTCTGCCTTTAATCATCTGTTAGACCTGCATTTGATCACGAGTTTTCTGTAAGCTCTAAACTAAGCTCAGCACCTGCTCCCTTAATAGTTTTGACCCTAAGGGGATATTTTGATAACAATGACCTATTTGTATATAGTTGGTCATGATTCTAAGGACTCAAATATAAGGCTGACAATTTGTGACGCAACTGAATAAGTCTTAAGGGTTGAACTATGCAGGACAGTGGCAGGGTTTTCTCCCCCACGTGCCTGCCTGCCTTGTTCACAGATGGGGGGGCAAATGTATTCATCTTAATCTGATTTTGCTGAATTAGGATGGCTTCTTCTGTGGAACTGATATAACATGTATGTTGTTTCCCTGGTTAATCTGTGACTATTATTATTATTATTATTAATTGAATTTATATCTTCCCCATCCTCCCCAAGGATATACAATTCAACAAATATATAATTCGAAAACCCAAAACAAAAATATTCTAAAATGGATTAAAACATTCCAAAAACAATTACAGTTAGAAACTTCTAAAAGGGACAGCAATTAAAAACCTCTTTCTGTCCAATGATTTCGAGGTAGCCAGGAACAGCCACAAAGGAGCATTTTCAAATTCTTCCTAAAACAATAACAATAACAAGGAAAAAAGCACACCTCACCAGGGAGGACATGTCACTAATTTATGGTGAAAGACTATAATCTCTCTATCTCTCTAACAATTGGAAGTGGTTGGATCTGACTGAACACTAAAAGAAGCGCATAGGAAAGATGTGCTAAATCCTCCTTCCTGCCTCCTTTCCCCTCAGTCTGTGGCTTAGACACTTTTCTCTATTCCTTGCTCACTTCTAGTATCAAAGCTAAGGTGGGAGAAAAGTGCCTGGCGCAACTGCATGAGGGGAGATCAGGGGGTGTATGTGTCAGGGGGATGCAGTGCCCCTCTCCCAGCAACAGGTGGTGTGCTTACTGATGCAATAGAGGTGTATGGTGGTGCTGAGGTTGGGAATGCCCAGCCACACCTCAGAATCCATGCAACGTTCCCATTGGTGTGCCCATCCAGCCCCGACCTCTCAATCATCTGGTGGCCCATCCTGGTAAGTGGCAAAAATGCTGCTTTTGGGGAGGGCGACCACTCAGCACCTCTCCAACTCATCAGATGCTCCTTTGTGCTCTCATATATTCCTTTCAAAGGTTGCACGTGTGGCACAGATAGGCATACCTGCATCTGTAGAGACCTTCCTTGGTACCCACAGGGTTTCTTTCTTTGGCTGCACCACCTGCAGAAATTAACCTTGAAAGATGCACTCCACTAGAGCCAATAGGATAGTCTGTGGTGTGTGCTTTGTTGCAGGGCATGTGTGGTGTCCACGATCCAAAGGTTTTACTCGTAAAATAATGCCCCATCTCACAGGTTGTATGGGAATAAGGGAGATGTGTGGCTGACACCATCACCATGTTTTTTTGATTTTTTTTGTGTGTGTTTTTAATATTTTGCTGGAAGCCACCCAGAGTGGCTGGGGCAACCCAGTCAGATGGGTGGATGATGATGATGATGATGATGATGATGATGATTTGTAGTTCCAGATAACCTGGTTAACCCCTTTTCTGTATTAATTGTAAAATGTAATCTGTTGCAGATTTTTATATATAGTCACATATACATTTAGAGAAAATACAGAGTGTTTATTGGGCTGTATCTTCAAACTACCTTTCTTTCTCCTTCCCTGCCCCATGTAGTTTAAATTGTTTGCTAACGTTACCTGGAACAATTTACAATTTTTACAAAAATTTTCCAGACAGAGATTAGGGCCCAATATTTTGGACAAGAGGAATCTTCATATTTTTGTGAACTAGTGTCTCTGTGTTTTTAATAAAATGCTTCACTTGTAACAATGAGGTATCATTCAAAAATATGCAGTGAATAGAAATACCTGCTGTAACAAAAGTAATTAATAGACCTTGACATTAGAATTTTGAAATCTCCCCAATTACACTTACAAGTCACCTCCTGGACTCCAATTTGCTTTATCCATTGGTGATGTCACAGCAATTAAGCCAATGGCACCCAGGTATCCCTCTCCCAAACTTCCTGCTTGTGGAGCATGAACATTCTGGTAATCTGATTTAGCGCAGTGCGTGGAGACTCTCTGAATGGGCAGCTCAATTCGGGGGTGGCTTGTGGGCCAGTTAAATAACCCCCATGGGCCGCTTGTGGCCCATGGGTGCCCTAGGTTGCCTACCCCTGATCTAGATGGTGCTGTGAAAGTCATTCTGTCTCTCTCAGACTAATGTTTCTCACTCCATAGTAGGGAACATAAATGAGACAATATTGCAATGTGTTCTGTACACATTGTTTTCCTGAGGCTGCTGCCACCCCCCAGTAATACGATTGTTGTTGTTTAGTCGTTAAGTCGTGTCCGACTCTTCGTGACCCCATGGACCAGAGCATGCCAGACACTCCTGTCTTCCACTGCCTTCCGCAGTTTGGTCAAACTCATGCTGGTAGCTTTGAGAACACTGTCCAACCATCTCGTCCTCTGTCATCCCCTTCTCCTTGTGCCCTCCATCTTTCCCAACTTCAGGGTCTTTTCCAGGGAGTCTTCTCTTCTCATGAGGTGGCCAAAGTATTGGAGCCTCAGCTTCATGATCTGTCCTTCTAGTGAGCACTCAGGGCTGATTTGCTTAAGAATGGATAGGTTTGACCTTTTTGCAGTCCATGGGACTCTCAAGAGTCTACTCCAGCACCAGAATTCAAAAGCACCCATTCTTCAGCGATCAGCCTTCTTTATGGTCCAGCTCTCACTTCCATACAGCACTACTGGGAAAACCATAGCTTTAACTATACGATTAGAAAATATTAATAATATAAACATATAATAAAGCAGCTCACTGTGCCTGGGAGCTTGGAGTGCCCCCTTTCTATACCTTGGCCCCACACAACTGAATCATCAGTTTGTCTCAGTCATTTCTGGTGATACTCAGAAATGTTATCAGCCATGGATGCTGGCAGACTGAAATAGAAAATGGGAAGTGAGCAGGTTGGCTTTGGTATTGGGCTAGGGATTGGTTGACAAGGCTGTCGCTCTACATGGCCTTCAAGAATGGCTGAGACATGGCCATGTTAGCAGTGGGCAGAAATGGCCAGAAGTCATGAGAAATCTTATCAGGGGTGCTGAGGCCAGTGGGATGGTTCAGAGAGGTGGGGCAGAGGCCAGAATTCCCTCTCATGAAGGAGTGAAGGGGACGGCAGAAATATCTGAAGTAGACTAGCACAAAACATATCGCTATGGGGTGCTGCTTCTAACTGCTTTAGGATAAGGGTACTTACCTATTTTACTTACCTGAACTAGTCACTTCTACTGTGTACATAATGAAAAAGCATAGTAGTATCTTTCCTGAGTTTGTTGCATCATTCAGAGCTCCAGGGAAGCAGGGCGCATTCCTGGATCACAGTCACACATTTTCAGTTTACCATATGATCTGATTTTGTAATCTGTTCTTTTTCAAAGAAAGGCACAGTCAATAATTTTTGTCATCACTGTGTTAAGATAGTCAGATATTAGTTATATAATTCTTTAGAGCCCAAGTTGATGCATCTGAAATGTTAGTGAAGGCTTTTTTTAAAAAGAGATAATACGTGATGGAGTACTAGATCTATTCTATCATAGGTCTAAGATAAACGAGAGACCAAATATTTTAATATTGGAGTGTTCTATCACAAGGAACCACAACTGAAATATGCATGTAACAGTGGTTGTTGCCAATGTAGGTAGAATTTCTTATATAAATCTGGACAATTATGTAGGATTTTGATTTGCTGAAACTGTCTGCTTTCTTTTAAGAAAAAAAAAACTACCTCATTTCTAGTGCAAAGAGCTGTGGAAATGTTTAGAAATATTAAAGTGATGGGTTCTAACCCAACAACGGATACAACCCAGTGTCTGTAAAAGCCTTAGTACTAATTCATACATTTAGCAAAAGTATGGGGTACAGATTATCCCAAGATTACAGCATGACTATATATATGTGAGAGAGAGATCACAAATCTGAGTGTATCACCTGATGATGATGATGATAATGATGATGATACCTAATACTGGGAATTGTACAATAAAGGAAAATAATACAACCTTGCCAATAGCTTACATCTATAAAACCTCATATTGAATTCTGTTTGCATATGCAAACCTGTCATTCCTAGGAGCCAACTCCTTGGAACCAAGGTCCCTTCAGCCTCCCCCATAAAATATTTGAGGGGACTGCCCCCCCCCCAAGTTGATGGGCGTTGTCATTCAAATGGTGTGCGTGTGCCATGTCATGTGATTGATTATGTGGGATGGGGCTTACCTGCCCCCAATGTTTTATTCAAGTTGGCACTCCTGCCAACTTAGGGAGAAGAACTGGTTGCGAATATGTTTCTGGTTGTAATTCAAAACATTTGTGATTAAAGCCTTTAAGTGGCTTAGATCCAGGATACCTTTGGACCTAAAGTATAGGTCTAAGGCTTACAATATTCCATATTCCTCTGCTTCCCTATCAACCTGCCTGTTCCCTAACATCAGAAGTAGAGGCTCCTCTCTCTTTGTTCCATCTAGGATGGCAAGAGAGGGACTTCTCAGTGGCTGAACCCTGTCATGGAATACCTTGCCCTGAAATGTTTGGCATGGGGGTTTTATTTTTTGTTGTTTAGCTATTAAAGACTGTTTTATTACAATAGGCTTTTTTGTGTAATTGGCAGCTGATATTCTCATTGTGATTGGTTTATGCTGGTTCCTCTGTCCTTGCTTGCTTGTTTTATATTGTTGTGTTCATGAATTTGTAATTTTAAATGTTGCAAGGTGCCCAGAGTGCTGCTTTTTCACCGGAAGGGCAGGACACCAATGTTTAAATAAATGAATGAAAGAGCAAATAATGTTAGCCAGACTTTTTCCTGTGAAATAACTTGTTTCACATGCAGAGAGTTAACAACTGAGTCAACCTATACATATCTACTAAGAGTAAGACCCACTGAGTCAAATGTTGATTGCTCCCAAGGAAGTGTGTCTAGGATTGCATGTGTTCAGAGGTGGCAAAATCCTGCAAGGGCTGTACTGCGAATCTCAGTTAACTTTCTGAATTGTCTCTCTGTTCCTTTGAGTGTCGGGTCATGCATGCACAGAGCACCCAGTCATGTTGTCATGTGAATGCACCCCTGTTGCTATTAATTCTCTTTTGACTTTTGACTTTTCTCCTGCCATCAGTCTGCTCCTTGCCAAATGAAAAAAACCATCAACTACAAAATCTCAAATATCTGATTTTAAACAAAAGATGCACGTTAAGATGCTGGAAAACAGGCAAATGCATATAATTTCCTTGCTAGGATAAGTCAGAAACGTGGGGTGCTCTTCTTGCAGAAGCAGGCTGGGTTTTTGTTTTTGTTTTTAACAGACCTTTGGGTACGTCTTGTCAAAGCCTTCACTTGATAATGCTGACAGCTGCTGATCTTCTCTCTGTTTAAGAAAACTTGTTTGCCTTGTGTTTTCCTTTAAATGATTGCTCTCCAGCAATTAATAACTTTTTTCTCGACAAAAGAAAGACATGTGTTAAAAAGAGTATACGCCTTTACATAGCTCCGGATTTTTGCTCCAAGCCCAAAATTGAAAGAGCAGCCTGCAATCAGCCTGTGGCTTTGGTTAAAGCCCTTTGCTATTATTAGGAAGTGATGATGTACACGGTCTTTTCCAGTACATGGTCTTTTCCAGCAGAGCAGCTGTTCCCTGCTACTGTGAGGGTGGGCTTTGCATTTACAGGGTGACAACTGAGAAAACAACACTCTCGCTGTTCTCAGATCCTCTTTAATATTCTTTACACTGGACCAGCAGCTACTGCTAAGAAATTCACGGTAATTTTTGGGCAGCTAGGGAAGTCTCGATTGTTTGGGCACTTCTGGCAGCAAAATTGTAAAAAGAAATATATTGCTTTTTGCAACTTCTTTGGGGCCTGACACATAAATAATATCCAATTGACAACATTATTATTGTTGTTATTGATATTGTTGTTCTTATTATTATTTGCCTTTCACACTGAAGTGCATCAAAGCTGCATGCACAATCAAAATAGAAATATATATGGTACAAATCCTACTCACCGCACTTAAAATGATGCACATAAGAAGAGGCCACAGATATAGCTAGTTACCCTTCAAATTAGGACCAAATGCCTGGCTGTAAATAAAAATGCCTTTGCCTGGTGCCTAGAAACAGACAACAAAGGCACCTGCTGTGCTTCCCTCAGAAGAGTATTCCACAAATAGGAAGCTACCACTGAAAAAGTAAATGGAGAAAGGACAAAGGGGTTTAATGTGGTGTCCAGGTTGGTTTGTGTGTTGAAACAAAGACTGAGCTCAGTATCAAGAGAGCCCCTTCACCCTTGACTTCCTAGCTCACACCTAGCCTACCACAAAAAGCCTCTTACCTGTTTATTTGCATCCATTTGTGTGTCTGTGCGTGTGTGTAAGTTAATCATGTTTTTTCAATTGCCATCAGATTCCGCATGTGCTGTTCAGAGGTTCAGAAACATTTTCTCATCATCTCAGCCAACCATTGGAGTGTGGGAAAGGATGGAGAGGTTAACTGATCATCAATAAGCAGTTCCTCTTATTTACAATACTGTGGGTTGTATTAAGTGTTGGCCGTACTCAGAGTAGACCCATTGAAATTAATGGAGATGGTTAACCTAGGTTCATTTTAATTTATATCCCACCCCTTCTCCCAAAGGAGCCCATTAACTTCAGCAGGTCTACTCTGAGTAGAATTTACTTGACTACACCCTAAATCTAAAGGGTGTCAGTAAATGAAACAACTGTAAGGGGAAAAGGACATAAACCCAATACCAAACATACAGAATATATATATATATATATATATATATATATATATATATATATATATGAAGGTAGGTACAGGCATGGTATTTATGCAGTCACTGTGATGTAAAAGCGTAAGATTTTTGGTAAATGCAGTTATTTATTAACTTATTAAAATATTTATACAGCAATGCAAAAACTTTTAAAAGCAATCATTAAAACAAATGGCTACTCAAGAAAATGGTTAAACTATGTAGATCTGCTGGCATTTAAAAAATCATATTTATATAACAGTTGCAAAAAACCCTACTAAGTCTTTAAAAATGCTGACTCATATACCATCAGCCCCCAGAAAGGGAAGTGTTTCTCTTTTGCTCATCCGATCTTGACCATAGTTAATACAGAATAGTGACAGGAACTGTGGACCACGGCAGCAAGACACACAGCATCCCCCACCCCAACACCAGGCTCTGAGCTTCAATCAGCTTCCTAATGTGAATGTAAAATGTGCCTTTGGCCGGGATGCTCATTTCCATTACAAAGACCCTCTCCTCCACTTTCTCTTGCACATGAGAACAATGATCAGGCACTGAAATAAACAGCAAGAGAGAAGCACAAAAGCAAATTTAAATGTGTGTGGAGGGCAAATGCTCAAGAGTGGGCGTGTTGCAGCCATCAGAGAGGCTGGCTCTGTTGGCCGTCCAACGGTGTGTAATTGGCTACAGCTGGGAGGGAGAGCCCTGCCGCCTTTGTCAGAGAAGCACCACAGCACACAATAAACAGTGATGTGCTCCGTTTTTCGTTTACCAAGCCGCCAGTATTGCAGCTGGCCATTTTATGTCTTTCTGCCATGGAAACTCATGCTCCCCAAAGCTGTCAATGATATGATTTCTTAGTGAGCATGCTTAGAAAATTGGCCTCCCCGCCAAAAGTAAATTTCTAGTACTCATGCTGCAAAGCAAAATGTTGACTAATGTCACTAGGGTGTGTGTGTGTGTGTGTGTGTGTGTGTGTGTGTGTGTAATTCCTTCTCTTTTTCAGCACATGCCATTGCAGCAAATGCACTCTATTGCTTTGTAATGGGTATGGGAAAGAAGCTGCAATTTGAAAGGTGTTGTGAGAAGATACACACTTCTTGTGCGCTGCAGGTAGTGCTGAAACTCAGTTTAGAAGCCATTAGAGCATGGGTAGGCAAACTAAAGCCTGGGGGCTGGAGCCGGCCCAATCACCTTCTAAATCTGGCGTGTTTTTACATGAGTAGAATGTGTGCTTTTATTTAAAATGCGTCTCTTGGTTATTTGTGGGGCATAGGAATTTGTTCACCCCCCCTTCAAAATATAGTCAGGCCCCCCACAAGGTCTGAGGGACAGTGGACTGGCCCCCTGCTGAAAAAGTTTGCTGACCCCTGCATTAGAGGGTTAAGTAAATGTTCCTTATCTCTGGAAACATTCAATAGGATAAATAGATCTGGAGAAATTATTGGTCAGACTGAAGGGTGGGGAACAAGCAGAGCAGGAACTGGAGTAGAATGAATCTGGTTTGATCATACACATCTCCATGGTGAGCAGACTGGATTGGCCAGTCCAACACACTGTTTCTCCATTCTATTCCCAGGCTAGGAAGCAAGAGCAAAGTTTGCACTGCGTAATGGAGTTTTAGCAGTGCATACCTTTTTTTTTGCAGGCAATGAATCCTTGCTGGACATCAAATTGGTGTGCCTAATGATGCTGCCTGTAACTAATGGATGTAAGCAGCAGGTCTCAAACACAGACATGTTGAAAGAGCCAGAAATTCAGGGGACTCTGCATTTTGATCAACGTGTATCATAGAATCGTAGAGCTAGAAGGGACCCTGAGGGTCTTCTAGTCTGACCCCCCCTGCAATGCAAGCATCTCAACTACAGCATCCATGACAGATGGCCAACAAACCTCTGCTTAAAAACCTCCAAGAAAGTAGAGTCCACAGCCTCCTGAGGGAGACCGTTCCACTACTGAAAAGCTTTTATTGTCCTAAAGTTCTAACTGATGTTGAGTAAGAATCTTCTTGCTTGTAACTTGAAGCCATTGGTTCAAGTTCTATCCTCCAGAGCAGGAGAAAACAAGCTTGCTCCATCTTCCATGTGACCACCCTTTAGGCTATCATATCTCCTCTTTTCCAGCCTAAACATACCTAGCTCTGTCAACTGTTCCTCATAAGGCTCGGTTTCGAGACTCTTGATCATCTGCGCTGCCCTCCTCTGAATACGTTCCAGCTTGTCAATATCCTTCTTAAATTGTGATGCCCAGAACTAGACACAGTATTCCAGGTGTGGTCTGATCAAGGCAGAATAGAGTGGTACTTCCCTTGATCTGGACACTATAGTTCTGTTGATGCACCATAGAATAGCATTATTTTTCGTTGCTGCTGCTGCATCACATTGTTGACTCATGTTAAGCTTGTGGTCTACTAAGACCTCAAGATCCTTTTCACATATGCTACTTGTAAGCCAGTTGTCTGCTGCCTTATATTTGTGTAGGTGACTGAAGTATGGTGTACCAATAAACCAAATTATTTGCCTTTGGTACAATCTGTAGTATCTGCTGTTTATCCCTGGTTACACTTTACTCCCATACCCACTGGATTGCTAAAGAGCAAACCCTGAATTAGATCACCAAATCAACACTTTTAATAAAAACCTTAATTCTCATTGATATTTCCATATTCTATGCTACATCCTGACACTATAGATCCTTGGAAAATTCAGTATTTGTGAATTCAGATGTGAACTGCCCTTTCCAGAGTAATGTGCAGACCACAATGTGGCAATTCATTAGATTTCATACTTCTCCAATTACAGCGATGCAGTTCTCAGATCTAAAATAATACACCAGAATGCATTTAAAGAGCTGCATTTTGAGATAAATGCACTTTTTTAAAAAAAATGTACACCATGAGAGAATATATACTTACAAATGCCCTTTTGCAGGCAATTACATTTAAATGCACACTTAAATGCAAACCCCTAGATTAGTGCAGAAACAGAACATGTTTATGAGTGAATGCATGCAAAGTGAAACAGATGAAAAATAGACCAATCTGGTGGTGTACCAATCTGGTCGCCATAAAGAAGCCCATGGAACAAGACAGGCCAATTGTTACAGCACCATGAAGAGTTTTCTCATGAATTTCTAAAACTTTCCAGACTCACGTTTTAAATCCCCTCTCCATTGGTCAGTTACCCTCTAAATATTGAACATGATCAGCATGCTAAACAGCTCAAATATCATGCTCAAATATACCCATCTGCTAATCATCTCCAAAGGTGGTAATCTGCAGTGACCTTAGGCATGTAAGCCTTTAATGTTAGTCTAATATATGACTAGATAGACTAATATTCTGGCCCATACTTATCTCTGGAGACACTCAAGAGCTGGTTTCCCTGTCCTACACTACTGGTTTAGACTCCCTGTACTACACTTCCTGTCTCTTTCAGGAATGTACTTTATAGATGCGAAGAGTGTGTAATGTGTGGTCTATTAGGAATGTTTTGGAGCTCCCTGCATCATAGAAGAAGGTGCTACATTCTGTGCTGCCTGCTCTTTTTCACACGGGGCGCTGATCACATGAGCCAGCTGCTCATATGAGTTGAAAATGAGATAATCAGTGACAGAACCTTGTGAGAGCATTGGCCTTCATGTTTGCTGCCATTCATGCAGCAGACTGAAGCTAAGGATTTACAAAGCAAGAATCATAGTGAACAATGTGGATTAATGAGTGTAATGCCCCCTTTATTTCAGCCAAATGGGTCTTGGAGTTGGACTTGGGGCACCTGTCTCCCAGGTCCAATGCTTGTCTTTCAAGCTCAGGGTATGGACCTTCAGGGTGGCTTTGAACAAGAACACCCTGTCTGCATTACCATTGCTCTACTGAAGCATTCCCAGGGTAACCAATTATGGACTCATCTGAAATAATGCTCCAAAGAACTCGGTACCTCCTACCATGGGGACAATCTGATGGGACTGTAGAGAACATCAAGAAACTCCTGTGTACAGCTTGAGAGCACAATCCACTGAGAACTTCCCCTGCCAAACTCTGTTGGAATGAATGGGAGCTTTGCAAGAGTTCTTGCAAGGGCAAGGCTCCATTCATTTCATTGGGCTCATGCAGGAGAAGGTCCTTGGTCCACTTGGCCCCAAGAGCTTAACATGTTAGTATCTCAACAATTAGAATATTTCCCCCTTGTTGTTAACCCTTAACAACAATCCTTCTGCAGTTTAAACTCAGTGCTTTTTGTCCTGTTATCAGGAGGAAAAGTGGAATGGTTGAGCCCCCTCTTTGTCAGAGATAAGTCTTAATATTTGCAAACTGGCAGCTTAGTCTCAGGGCTGTCGCAGGCAGAAGTATTTGCAAGTGTTGGGTGAACTGAAACCGTCTCTTGCCCAGTTTCTGCAAAGCCACACTGGAATTGTGCCAATCCCTGCTAGTCCGAGCCGATTAAGAGGATCAGTGCTGGCTGCACAGCCGGGCTGCTGCCAAATCCTGCTTACCAGATGGAATAAGGCCAGGTTCTTGGCCATGCGATGCTGGCTATATTGACAGGGAAAGAAACACATCTTGCACAGTCACCTTAAAAAAACCATTCCTCCTGTGAACTCAGGCAAACGGGTGTTGAGCTGAGTAACGAAGGTGAACGCAAGCTCACTGACGATCGGAGCTTGTGATGAAACTTTTAGATGACCTTGTCATGAACAGGAAAATCATGGCTAAGACATCTGCACCTACATGCCAAAAAGGTTATGAGAACTGGCCGTCACTTGATACAACGTAATGACTACCCAGGAATGAGGTCATGTTCCTCAGCACGAAGAAGCCTCCAACTCTAATATCTTATGCCTCTGGCACTCTGACCCTGGGTATATGATAAAGCACAGACTGGAGCGCTACCCCAGTGGTATCCTATGTGATGTGAGGTCAGAACTCTCCTGCCACCATGTCTGGTTCTGGAATAGTACATTGCTGGGTTGATTCTAATATGCTTCCATCTCTGCCCATTTGGGGGTGGTTGCTCTTCCCTAATGTAGCAGTCGCTCACCTTGCTGAGAGACCATGCTGAGGCCCAATGGTTATTTTGCTGCATCTTAATACTTATTGAGTGGTTTAGTGGCTCACAAGAGCAGGGCTTAAGATCCACTTTATTCTAAGAAGTTAAAAGAGCGGTCAGCATAAAAGCATCTCAAGAAGTGTTGAAGAGTCTGAAAGTGGGGGGCCTGTTTGTTACAATGGGAGGATCGCTGCCAAATAATGCAGGATTGCCCCCTTTTAGAAGGCAACACTCTTGGTGATACTTTAGAAATATTGCTCTTGGGGATACTTTAGGAATAACCAGGAGAAACGCAGCAAAAATGCCTTACCACTTGTACGTCCTCCTCTGAGAAGTTGTTGACCTTTGCTAACTTACATGAATCCATGATTCCTACAAGCACTAATGGCTCTGTTCTTTGGAGAACGAGAAGAGAAGTGTTTCTACACCTCATCGCATGAGTCAGTCAACTCTGAATACCGACTGAAGCTTGAAAACAGCAAAACAATCTGTGCAATTATCTGACAAGCATAGGATTTAATTTGCCTCCAGTTGCTACTGTAACCACACCTAATCCCTTGTCCCGACTTAATGTGGTCCAGTGGAAAGCTGACATTTCTCAAGAAAAGCCAAACCTAGTGTGCCAGAGAGTGGCACTAAGGTTTTGATCCGGAATGGAACCCCTACACTGGCAATTTGTGTAAACAAACAAACAAATGCTACACATAACTAATATAACATCTAATTTCACAGGAACAGGATTTAAGCCATCTTTTGCATCTGTGGCAAATAGTATAGGTTTGGGTTTGCACCTACTTAGGATGGAGGAAGCGAGACAAGCCTGACATACATGGTGTGAGGAAGAAATATAGCATTTGCTCGTGAAAACTGGAAACAGGATCCTTGGCTTTTAATGGAACAGGGAACTGGTGACATGATACTTGCATCCTGCACTACAGATATGAGGCATTGCTCAGCACTCAGAGCTGCTGTGTTTACTGCTATGTATGTTTACGGGGTCATTAGCAGAACAGATGCAATTACAAAATTTTGACTGCTTTTTCTGTGGGGGCTATCCAAAGCTATACTTCTCTTGTCCTAAATCCAGCACTCTGCAGGCCCCACACCAGTCGTCTGTGCTTCCTGATCTTTAAAAAAAAGTCCATGTGTGGAAAAACCTCATTTTGTCTTTCCCTGGGCTTTCATTGAAGCAGCAGACATCTGGGAATGCTGCAGAGTAAAAACCACCAAAGAGAATATTCATAGAATGAAAGAAGGACATTCATCACTAGCAACCCATGCCCTCCTCAAATGTAAGGGAAGCAAAACCCAAACCCTGCATCTCGCCCACGAGTATTTCACAGAAATATTTTCTTCCCTGAAATATTTTTCAATACCTCCCTCCACCCCTTAACAGAAAAATGTGGGAGACATATTCAGCACAGCACTAGAATAATACCTTGTAATTAAATATGACAGATATTTTAAAAGTCATTCCATCGCCTCTGTAAGAACCTGCACATGAGCCAGTAAGTTCTTTACCTTCTTATCAGCTACACCTTTTATGAAATTCAAAACTTCACTGAAATTCACAAAACACAGAATTTGGATTAAATATTAAGGTTCCTGTGGTTGTGGATGTTGATTATACCAAAATCCCTTTCACATGTTTAGCTCTGAACTGGCAATTTTTTCTTGTTGTGCCATTCTTAACTACCACCATTAGTCATTCCTACAATTTCTCACAATATATGTAGCCTTGTTAGCTTTTAAGCTCCATTTGTGGTGAGCCATTTCTGCTTATCAGTCCCATAATATTTACATGAGACCTACTGAAAATGTGAAAGCTGTAGCTGCTTGATGTCTTGCCCTGCTCTAAAAAAGCTGCAATAATCCTGCATAGTGCAAAACAAGGCCAGTTGGAGATTGCAGTTTGAGATGAGCAGAAAACAGTGGGTAGCCAGGATCCAGGTAAGTCAGACTGCGTAAAGGTGACTCTGAGAAGGCTAGACTTGAGAAAGGAACCTGGGACTAAACCCAGAAGCAATGTAAGATGCTTAGCAGAGGCCTGAGCTCACCTGGGCACCTAAATATTGACATGGAGCCCTGCTTACCCCTTAAAAGCGTAAGGGTAGCAAGAATTCAAAGAGGTCAGTGCTGCGGACTGCGGTGCTCCAAAGCTGGAATGCCTCTCACAGCACCCCAGGGAAAGAGGGGTCCTGGGCAGCTGGAGATACGAAGGAGCGGTGAATTCTGGTGCCTTGGTTTAGCAGTCTAAATCCCCATCACCAGAGGCTGCTGACCTTCCCTAAAAGTGGCTTCCCTTTCACCAGAATCACTGAGATCTAGAATCATCCACAGTTTCAGAATGGACAGCTTACCGTATTTTTCGTCCCATAGGGCACACCGGCCCATAGGACGCACCTAGTTTTTTGGGGGGGGAATTAAGGGGGGGAATTTATTCCCCCCCCGGTTTGTGCAGCCATCCCCAAGCTAGAAGAGGGAGACGGAGCGCTCCGTCTCCCTCTTCTGCCTTCAGGGACAGCCTCTCTAGCCTCCGTGGGGCAGCGGCTTGCCCCGCTGTCCCCCGAGCTTGTGGGGCTGGCGATGGGGAGAAGCAAGCTTGCTTCTCCCTACCGCCAGCCTCCAAACGAGGTCGGGGAATAGCGGGGTGGCAGCGCTCCATCTCCCCGCTGTCCCCCGAGCTTGTGGGGCTGCCTGATATCTGCACGAATCGGGATGCAGGCTGCTATCCACAATGTGATGTGTTGTAGAGAAAGATATGTGTAAAAGGCAGACTCCTTCTATAATACGTTGGCTCATGAACAGAAATGAATGCACATGAAACTAAAAGGTAGAATCAAAGTGAAGGTATCTACAATACCGATAGAATCAAAATGTAACTGGAAGCATCTACAAATGTCCACAAGGCAATGGTTTTTGCCCAGTGGCTGTGTCAATGGAAGGCAGCTTGCCCAACCAATCTTCACCTTCCCCATCTCTTTCCTGCAGCCCCCAATAACCCTGAAAAGCTAATCCAAGGGGACCTACTGATCATTGTGGGTTGTGCCACAATGTAAGATAGGGGAATGAGGATGTGGGAATCACCTAAACCAGACAAAGGAACCATACACAAGCAGAGCTCTATTGGGGAAAGGTCCCTTAGCCCAATATTGTATCATTTCACTCTCCATACTGCACTTTCATTGATGGGGTCTGTTGAAAATGGCTTCTCTATGCAAACCAGGAAGTGATCTCTCCAGACAATGGTATGACTTTTATTTTCTAATCTCAGTGGCTATGATCTCCTGTGTGACATGGACACTATTAGGCAGTTGAATGTGCATGTGTACTCTGTCCTTTTCCCTCCCTCCTTCCTGCCCCCCTCAACGCAGCCCCGGGCACGGGCAGCCCACGCTACGCTACTGATTTAGCCCGCAATGTCCTCCAGATCCTCTGAAGATTGTAGATGGTGAAGGGGAAGGACAGATGAGGGGAAAGGTAAGATTGATTTTGCAAGTTGTCTTCCACTCCCAGAACCATTGGATACAACTCAGTGGATTTTCTGTGGGAAGCGACTGTATGGGGCCAGGAAATTGGAAATATATATTTCCTTTTGTGGTTTTCACATATCCAGGGCACTTATCCAGGGCAGAGATGTTGCTTGACGATAGAGACACTGTTTAAATAAAAACATTATTTGTCCAAAACAACTTTTCCCACTGTGAATAAGATACTGGTGAACTAAGGAAAGAAGTAAAGGCTACATTATAAATTTAAAAAGGTGGTGACAGGTCATGTGTAGATTGTTGTAGCCAAGTATAAATTTAGCAACCTGCCGCTGAATATTTTTGGAGAATTATTTCAGCTTGCCTGCAAGATGTTTGAATAAAATGGAATGGAAAAAGATGTATAATTCATTATAACTCCAGGATTTTGCCTAATGGCAACACATAAATGCCTCCCCTACCCAAATGGAATTATATAGGGCAGAATCTACAAGACAGGTCTCCTACAAGAGAAGTTCCTATAGTTGGGAGGTGGGAGGGGAATAAAACTGGAAAACTGTAAGGCTGGAAATGGAGCTGAAGGCTGTCTAGTCCAGGTTAGGATGTTGTTGTTGCAAACACCCCTAAAGCAAGGATGCAGAATCTGTAGCCTTCCAGATGCTGCCGAACTACAGTTCCCATCATCCCTTGTCTTTGGCCATGCTAGCAGTCATGCATCTTGTTTCTCTCCATTGCCATGTGGCAGCATCAGTGGTAAATGTTGCAATAGGAAAAAAATACAAGAGGCCTCCATATTTATTTATAAAGTACATCTAACTATTTCAAGTGAAATAAGCACTTGCTACAGAGGAACCAGCAAGCTTTTTACTGATTTAGCTTTGTAGCAGACTCCTCAAAGGTATACTTAGGGGTGGAGGAGAAATTTGGTTTTGTTTACATTTTAATGAGAATCTACCTAGTTCACACTTTCTGAACCAATACACGAACTGAAACAAAGCTATCCCAAGAAACTCACTCTTCTCTGAATTTCATGATGCAGTTCTCTAAGAATGCACATGTCAGAGAGTCATGCATAAAAACACATTATACTAGTGAACATAGCAGTCTATTAAGGAAAATAACATGCAAAAGTGTATATTTCAGTCACAACTCTGTACAAAAAAAGTGCTTAATATGGTAAATTTGCTCCAAAATGCTCATGAATTTTCATGAGGGTTTTTTGTTTTTAATTGCAAATTTCTGCGGAAAGATAGGAAGAAAATGAGAAACGGAGAGACCAGGAACTGACATATCTGCCCCCCTTACTTATACTTGATCTTAAAATGAATGTCCCAAAGGGTATTTCTATTATAATACTGTGCCCGATGCTGTAACTGCTGCTTTTGCCGTTGTTGTTACACAATTCTATGCACTGCTTTTGCAAATTAACAAAATTGTTAGCCAAAACGACAGTTCCCTGTTCAAAGTGACTTGCATTGTACTTGATCTTATTTATTTGCTCCTGATGGAGTAAAGGAATAGGTCTTGGAAGAGTTTGTTTTTAACAGGGATCATTATAAACCCTTTGTCCATCACTTTTACAGGGGTTATGTTCTGGGTCTCCACACACATAAGTGAAACTTCATAAAGTGGGGAGCACCCTGAAAACACCCTTTAAAAGCCCACTCTGACACTCTCTCTTCAATCCATACCAAAATACTGCATCCCAAATTATCCACAACTAGAATTAAAGCTCTTGGGCTGGCAGGAGGCTGGAGGATGCCCAGGAAAACTGCTGCTGCTGCTCTATCCCACACACCAGCTGTTAGACGGGGAGGCTGAGCAGCGTAAGCAAAGCCCTGGTGTGCCTCTTTCTCTTCAGGGCTTCCTCCACCCTCACTGATGTCCTTTTCAGGCTCCAGGAAGGGTCTTGTCACAAGGCACAAGGACTCTCCAGCTCTGTCCTGCCATTTCCGCATACGAATTAAATTATCTTATTATTTCCTGGTGCCATGTGCATGCATAGAATATGCATATGTGTGTGTGGGGGGTACCTGTAAGTCCTTTTAGTCAGGGCTTTTTTCAACTGGAACTCAGTTCCAGCACCTCTCAGGGGGCACCATTGCCATTATAAAATAACAAGGGAGGTGTTCATGGTGACTTCTGGCACCTCTTCTTCTAGAAAAATAGCACTGCTTATAGTGCTATTAAAAGGACACAGCGAGAGGACCTTTTCCGTGGTAGCTCCATGTCTCTAGAATTGATTGTCAGCTCACCACACTCCAGCCCTGTAGAGAGATTCTGAGGACCTCTTTGTTTCAGGTGACCTAGGCATGAATTATATCTTTCATTGCTGTAGTGCTCTTTGAACTGGAATAATAAGGGAAAACAATGTTTTCTTATTTGGGATTGAGCAGTCTTTTCCTATGGCTGATTCATTTAGTGCTGGGGTGTTTCGTACAAATCATCTTATATTTTATATTTTTGAATGTTCATCACGAAAGCTGCTTTGAGATCATTCTGCCCAGAAAGGCAGCCTATAAATATTCTCAAAGTAAAATAAAATATATTCTTCATTTCTTCCAACTTCCATCTATACTCCACCTCTTTGCTATCCTGGCACTCAAAGCAGCAGACTTGGGGTTCTCAGGAGGTCTTCCACTTAGGCACTGACCAGACTGACACCAGCTTAGCTTTAGCAAGGGGGTGCACTGTGATCAGTTGTGTGCCAGTTGACTTGTGAAAAATTCCCAGTGATGCGATAAATAAACAAGTGTTTTAGGGACACATTTGGCCAGGGGTGGGTAACCTTCTTTGGCCTGAGGGCTGCATGCCACTTGTGCATGGGGCCATAGGCAAAGGTAGTCAGAGCACCAACATGAATTTTCCCACCCTGGCTCTGGGTCTACCTACTCATCACCATTTATTGGCTTCTTGTTGTTTAGTCGTGTCCGACTCTTCGTGACCCCATGGACCAGAGCACGCCAGGCACTTATTGGCTTACTCCACAATAAAATTGTCTCTGTGCTTTTCAGTCAACATAACACTACATCAGGGGGGAAAGAGAAGATCAGTAGGATTAGAATAAAAAATATGAAACCTTTGATCGTTTGAACTGAAGCCTTTGTTAGTGAGCTACACAGCTAGCTTGTGAGTCAGTTGTAAAAAACATTTGCTTTTGTACACCAGCAATGATGTAAGGATAGGTGTCACTGGAACTACTTGGGTTTCCTTCCTTCCTTCCTTCCTTCCTTCCTTCCTTCCTTCCTTCTCTGACCATCACAACAAACATTCTTTGTATTATCAATTTCTAAAAATGCTTTCATTCATTTAGGGAAAGACACTGGCATTTCAAATCAGAATTCTCCTCAAGCTGCGCCAAAGCAGTCTTTCCCAAGGCACAAGCTATTGAAGAGCCTGGGTATAAATAACAATAAAAGAGAACAAAACAGATGGCCTACCTCTCCTTGTCCTCAGCCACAGAACGTGCAAATTAATCTGAGAATGGAGAATGCATGAGACAACACAATTATCGACAGCATAGGAACATAGTGTGTTGTTGGAAGCTGTCTTATAATCAGTCAGAATTCAAACAGATTCATGCCCCTGTTGTAGAAAGTGCTGAGCAAGTGGTTCTTGATATAGTTTGTGCTCACAAATGTGGGTCTTAATAGATCTAGCAGTCATATGCATGTATATCTTCTTTAGGGGCACAGAATGGCATGAGCGACCCCATATGACTCTTTTTAGGATTAAGACACCACTATTTGTCACCAGGGCTGTCTTAAGCATATGCGGTGTTGGGGTGCAAAGATCCGCCTGGTGCCCCCTCCAGGTTGCCCAGTCCCAGGCACGCAGGAGGGCAGAGCCAGCAGGCCACCTCAGTGTCTTGCTGGCTCAGTTGCTCCCGAACTTGCAGCGCAAAGCTGCTCACAGCAGAAGAGCCCACCGTGGCGCTCCGACCGATGGGCGGGCTCTTCCCCAGACTCAACTGTCAGGCTCCGGACTCTCGGCCCGGCGCCCCTGAGAGTCCGGTGCCCAGGTGCCCTGCACCCGTAGCGCCTATGGATAAGGCGGCCCAGTTTGTCACATTCGTTTGTTGATCAGGCATTGACCTGGATAGATGAGTCCATTTACTATTGCATTTTAGCAATGTTATTTATATCCTTATTACATTTTAATATTATATGTGGGATTAAAGTTGTATACCCTCCCTATACTACTTAGGAATACAGTATCATTTTTTGTCTTCAACGATCACAGTTTCTGAGTTCAGCTTTGGAGGTCAGTATATCATTTGTTGTGTCTTATATGGAGTCAGACCAATGGTCCATCTTGTTCAGTATTGCCTACACGGGCTGGCAGCAGCTGTGCAGTTTCAGGCAGGAAGTCATTCCCAGCCCAGTATGGAGATTGAACCTGGAAACCTCTGCATGCACAGCCATTGATCTATATGTCATACACAGAATGGACCCCAGTGAATTGCAAACAATGTGATTAATAGACAATTGCCTTGTGGATATGGCCCAATAAACAACGCAAGGAATGGGATAATCAGTCTTGGGGGGGAAATGTTTTGGCCCTCTGCTTTCAGCCCAACTCATTTGGAAAGGACACAAAGATATTAGGCTACCTCTGGCAACTGCCAGGGTCTTCCTATGGTGGCCTCAGACGATGATACTTCAAGCCACATGGGAACCCTGATATTTAAAGTTATGTTTATGGGGAAATGCTAATTGCTTATTCTGCCTCATTAACTTTGGTGCCATTAGCTTTGCAGATAAAAAGATTTCGAACTTAAATTCTGGGGAGCATCACTGACTTTCTTTTCTCTTTTAACAGTAAAGAAGAAATATTGCCAACGGCTGATGAAGACATATGGAATAATTCCAGGAGTTCAGGTATAAAACCCCATTCAATTAGTTCTTCCTTACCGCACATCTTAATTTTTAAAAGTAACAAAACACCCTGATATATATATGTGTGTGTGTCTCTTTCTGTGTGTTAACTCTTCAGAGTCAGACATCCCCAAAATTCTTTATTCACATGTGGATGATAATGAAATTCAACAACGTAAGGAGAATGTAAGCAGTAAAGATGTGGAATGTAACGAAGATGATAATGAAGATAATGAAAAAGAATTAGAGTTGTTGGTAAGTGTTGTGCATTATTCACTTAACGGTTTGATAATATGAACTCATTTATTCCTCAAAGAAAGTTCTTCTCCAGCTTCAACAGTGCTGATAGGTACACAGAGATCTGCCAGTGCTATGCCAACATCAGAGCTTTGATTGCATCTTTAACATGATTGGTGGTAAAAAGTGCTTTGTTCAGTCTATTCCATTATGTTCTGCTGCCCTTAATTCAATAACTTATCTCTTTTCTTCTTTTTATCACAGGCGATAAAGGACAATTTGAGAGCCCTAGAAGACTATTTCAAAGTCCTGTCTCTCCGGTCTCTGTGATCAGTGTACACATGTATACAATTTTTGTTCAGTAGACTTCCTTTGTTCTACATGTAGGCTGCCTCACACAGACTATGACTGGATGTAGATGGCTGTTTGCCCTGCAGTGGCTGCTTGTAAGCTCACCACAGAGCAACAGCAATGATGTGGGGAGTCAGTTATCTTGGCATCCGGCCAATGGGTAAGGTACCCCACACCCATGCTGTACCCCACACCCCTGGTATGACAAATTCCTCTTTTCTTCCTGCTTATGAACCTCTTTAAGACCAATATTTGTGCACATCTTGGTCATGAATCTCACCTGCCAGCTATAAAATATACATTCCCAGCACCTCTGATTCATATCAATTCTCTTCTAAACGACAAGCATTTAACCTGTGTGGGTCATCCAAAATAGGCTGCCTTGCATTTTGTGGGAAGGAATGACAGCAAGTCTGGAGCTCATATTGCTTGTGTGCACAAAGCTAAATAAGTATGGAATATAATACTGTTTGTTTGAGAACACAGGAAAGCTGAAACCCACAACAGGACTTGTAGCCCTTTTGGACAGTGAGCAAGAAAATGAATTTTTCACATATAAGCATGAACACTCCCTTTCTCTAACTTTAGGGTAGTTAAGAGTTGTCATCCAATGCAGGAGCATTCACTGTCTGAAAATCAGCATCTTTGTAAATTTATTTTTTTAAACTTTTTTTTAAACAAAAAGACAGAAATAAGAAGCTGGGGTGGGGGAAATCACAGGATACTCTTAGCATTCCCTGAGACAATGAATACACTAAAATTTAACAGTTTTTAACAAGAAGGGAAAATCAAAGTGATCATCTGTACAATAAATGAAGAGTGTATATGTATGTCATTCAGATTTTAATTTACCTTATGTGCTGTGTAATGAATTAAACAATGGAGGCCTATAATAAATGGAAATGCAACCAAATCTTTGAAACCCATAGGCAATTGCTCACAAGACAGCTCGGCAGTTGACAAGTAACATGAGCCTTATGTGAGAAGAAGGGAAAATCGTAAGATTTGCATATAATTATTGAGATCATGCAAATGTCAGTTATGAGGAGGGAGAGAGAGGAGGGGGAAAACCCAGGCATCTCACTATTAAATCCTGACAGTTGGCATCACTGAAGAGCTCAGATACATTTGAGCGCCAGTTGGCAGAGGGTCATTAAAACAGAATTTGCAGAAACATTAGTTCCTTCACTTTTCTTTGAGTGACGTTTTACTATTAATAGTTTGCAGAGGCTTTGCAGAAAACATATTAATAAGAGTCACTGTAATGGGGGTATCTGCAGCAAGTGTAAATGTAATAAGGTGGCCCCCAAGAAGCTATCCTCTAATTGATTGGTATGAAACCATCAGCCTGAGTATTCGAAAGCAAGGAGAGAATGCCATGACAAGGAAATGCTGTTGAATTGTATAATGCAATATTTGGAGGAGAGAGAGAGAGAGAGAGAGAGAGAGAGAAGAAACTTACTCGTTCCTGGCCTTTCCTTCACTAACTCCTTTTACGCTTTCTGGAACTCTCAAAACATTCCGGTATGCAGCCTGTAAAATGGGTGCTGAGAGGAATGAAGAAAAGGGAACCCTTAGAGTATTTGTCAGTGTGCAAATGTATCTTTATTTTACCGGACAATACCATTCATTCTCTAGCTTTGATATGCGGTGTCAATGCAGTCAGTTTAAAATAAAACATGCCTGGGAGGGAATGTGCTCTGTGAATGAATTAGCTTCTCTTGTAGAGAATATTCTCTTTTGGATTCATTTGTCTGAAATGGACTTGCAGCTTACTGAGCTCATGAATAAAGAGGGTGGGGAGATGGGGGTGGGGGTGGAAGCGAGAAAGAGAGGGGACTCAGGGCTTTTTCATTTCTTGCTTTTACACAACCTTCTAACACCCTTTATTTTAAAGAGGACACGCAACATAAAATCTGTAACTGATTTGTTTTCTCCAAATCCGTCTTACTGAATACAAAACTTTCCTGATTAAATCCTTCCTCTTATATATCTAAGTTTATGTGTATGCACACATGCATTCTGATCATTTTTTTCTTATTCTGTTCTTTCAGCTAAGTCAGCACTTCACTAGAGCCAAGGATGAAAGGAAGTTATACACAACCGAGCCAGTTAGATTTCCAAATGAACCAAAAGAACTGGGGGGCAAGATGGACTCTGGCTTGCTTAGGCAACCTCTTGCGATAAGTTCATCTGAACGTGCTTTACAAGACAAAGGTCTGCACAATAACCAAACATCTTCCACAGGAAATGATTTTTGTATGATACCCCCAGAAAAGTTGACTCCACTGGACTCGGTAAACAATAGGGCCCAGTCTTCGGAAAGCTTTAGTACCATTGAAACCCTTTCATCACTGGAGCACTGGTCTGGAACGAAAGAAAAAGAGACCGACCGTTTTACAGATGTTATCTCAAGTAAACATGGGGTGTGTCCTGCAGATGTTCAAAAGCATGAATCTGAAGATGCCTCAGGAAGCGAAACAATGGAGAGTTTGTTAATCAGAGAGGATAATTATGATCACCACAGAAAGGCGTGGGAAACAAGGCCCAAAATAGTTCCCTTAGAGTATGATGAAGCCATCGAGTTAAAAGAGGAAGTGTTGGAAAGAGTGGATGACAAGGTCAAGCCATTTCTTGGGCAACATATGCAAGAAACATCTTCCCAAACTCTTGAATCAGTTTTAGAAAACATTGACAAAAAAGAATTCAAAATTGAGAGATATGGGAACAAAAAGGTGTATTTAAGAGGAGAATTTAATACCAATACCTTAGCTGAAGCTAATGTCACACCAAGGTCTTTCACAAGTTTGCATACCAAAGATGACATTGTAGAAGAAAAATATAAGTCTGAGTATAATCTTGATAAGGTGAAAGAAATAAAGTTGAGCATTTTAGAGCAATCTTCAGAAGAGGCACAAGCATGCCCTACCAACAGGCATGGAAAAGATTCCGCTGAAATACAAAATCAACAACCATTGTTGTTCACACCAAGTAACAATGAAGGCAGTACAATAGAGAAGTTTTCTCAAAGAGAAATGATGAGTCCTGGTGTGTTAGATGTAGCAAAAGATGAAGAATTACATGAATCCATAGATATATCATGGCTAAATGCTGGAGAAATCTCAGGCAAAAGAAATAAGCAGGAAAGCACAACTTCTGTTGTAGGTGAATTAAGTCAAAATTTAAAGGGAGCAGAGAGTAGTTACCCAGAAGACATTCAGACCAGAAGTGGGATTTGCTTGAGCTACCCAAATTTGGTACAGGCAACTGATGAAAGTATATCCACGTATTCTGCATCAACAAATGTAGAAGATGTGTTTGATGCTGGAGGAAATTTAGAAGAAGGGAAGCACAGTCAGGGCTATGACCTAGCAAACAGAAAGATGTTGCAGGCAGAGCTGTGCCAAAGTGATCCTGGCAGGTTTACTGATGATGATCAGAGCAGCAGGGTCACATGGGGGGATCAAAGTTGGAGAGGCTTAGGAAGTCAATTGGCAGAAAAGGAAAGCGAAGCCAATGAAGGAGTGCAGGTGGAAGAGCTAACAGGTGGCGAAGCTATGTGGGGAATTAAAGATGATACAAGATGTTTGGATGTAACTCCCACAGATGAATTGTTTACCTGCCAAGACCCGGTGAGATATGAAGAGTCTTATGTAGTGGAGCATGATAGTATAAGGGAAGCAGAGGCAGTTACAGCCTCTTATATAATTAAAATGACATCAGAAAGCACTCCAGAAAAAATGTCTGCTGGTGAAAAAGCAGTAATTATTAAGCTACCTCAAGAGACTGCACTAAGTGACAGGTCCACAGAGGAAAAGGAAACAGTGTTTGATATACATGAAGGGAGAAGTGATGGTTCACATTATCCTCTTTGTCAATGCAATACAGTGGGTGTATTATATGACACCAAATTTGAAGAGGAATCAGTTTCAGATATTTATAATGCACGCATACATGAAACGGTGCACGGAGAAATGATGTCAGTACGCAGTGCAAGCGAAAAGCTTGGTGGAGCAGAACATAGCACTGGGAATGATTCACCACCAGATGCAATATTATGGACTTCTGCTGCAGAAGGAAAAGCCATTTCAGAGCAGGATTTATATCCTGAAACATCTCCGAAAGCTTTGCAGGGCCTACTGCAAGGCCTATGCAACAAAGAGGCTGAAGAGGCAAGTGTCTGGAGAATGCTTCCTCACGACAGTGCTAAAGCAGAAAGCAAAATTTCCCCTTCTGAGGTCATTGTTGCTGGCAGCTATTGCGAAAGTTCATCTGTGACATCTTCGGAAGAGTCCAGGGGAGCAATTCCTGCTGAGGGGGGGCAAGTGTTGCATCCAGACACAGAAGCCTCAGTCGATATTGCAGCTGACTCAGAAAGCGGCTTCACCACAACTGGTGAAACAGCTCCCATGATTCCAAATATTTATTTGGAGACTGAACTCCAAGAACTTCCTGAGAGTTCAGCAGTGCTGCCTTCTAGTGAGAAAGGAGAAAGTAGCACAAGTCTGTTTCCCCATCAGCCAGAGCTCAAACAGGAGAAGCTATTAGGGCCAACCATTTTAATTAGTGAACCCCTAGAAGAAAGAGAAGAGAGAATCTCAGAGTCTGAAGGTTTGATAACTGAAGAAACATTGAACACTGACCACCAGTCTGTTTTTGGTCACACAGCAATTTCTGGCCAGCAAAGTGAAGTTCATAGCTTACCACCTGAGTGTCTCGTTTTAAAGCACATTGGTTACAAAATACTTTATTTCCTCTTGTTTGTTGTGTTTTGCGTCACATTGTACCACTACGATTTAATTGTTTGCTTTGCACTCTACTTCTTTTCATTGTATTGGCTATACTGTGAGGGCAGGAGGGACGAGGAATCTGTCAAAAAAGAGTAGTATAAAGCTTCCAAATGTCTACATGAAGCACTTAACATTTAATATTAGTATATCCCAAAGCACAGCCATGTCCACACAGAACCAACTCAAGATTGCCCCCCCTTTCCCTTGAAACAATGCTTAAAGGAATGTACATGGAGTTTGCTCCCTCATATAAGTAATTATTCTGCATAGGACCATTAAGTTTGGATCATTAAATACCTATATGAATATGAGTTCTGAAGCACATCAAGTTGAAATTAAATACAGCTGCTGCTCCTTTTCTGGTTAGGAAGATGTGAAGCTTGAGTCTCTTCAGAGTCTCTTACAATTTTATCGCACTCATTTGTTTTGTAGTAAAGCTTTATTTTCTTTCTGGAAGGCTTTTTAAAAAACGGTTTTATATAGCAAGTAAGTAAAGAGGGAATGGCATTATGACTAACACAGTAATAGGGCATGTCCACTTAGGAGTTTCCTGTATTTTATACTTATGCACTAAAATTGAAGGATGAGAAGTAGGCCCCACAAAATAAGGTATTGTGTGGCCAGGGAATTTTGCACACCATTCCTCAGTGTGGACTATATCACCTCCATTCATCCCACGATTTTCCTGTTTTGCTGGGTGAACAGATGGGAAAACCAAAGCTGCAGTATTGTTTGCAGGGATCTGATGCACCGAGTTGGAGCCCTTCTCTTCCTCCTCTTTCAAACTATGCAATGTGGACATGCCCTTAATATATTAATACTGACCATAGGCACGATCCACTGGGATGTCACTCTGCATGCACCGCTGAAATTGATAGGAGTTGTGCAACAGCGCAAGGAATGTGCCCCATATGCATTTAATGATGTACAACTAGAATTAGCAAGCATATTTATGGGTTAAGTGGAGCCGTCATCAGACATTGCCAATCAGAATTAAGGAAACATACAAGGAGGGTCATGCGGTCAAGTATGCCAGCTCTGACCTTTGTCATCATTCTCATCTCCCTCCAAATCATGGAGGTCAGTCTTCTGAAGCAGAGCCTTCTGCCCTCATGAAGGCTAACGTGTGCTTTAGAACCCTGATTTTCTAGCGTTCTAAAGAACATAGAAAGATTCCATGAGCACAAGAGATCCCCCACTTCAGAAGATTGTCTTGTACACAGTGGAGGGTGACAGAAATAGTGACAAGTGGGGGGCAGAGATACCCCCAGCTCTGATGTTAACTTAATACTTCTTGATAATGCCTGAAGAAGGCATAGGTGGCTGCTGTTGTTTTCCCCCCAATGTGATGATATTAATTAATAAATGTCTGCACAGTTACAACTCTAGACTCCAGTGCAATTGTGATGTAACTTTGTATGTGTCAAAAAAAAAAGTGCTATGCAGAAAAAGCAGGCTCTTGTTCACACCACAGAGCTGATATGGACTGATGTAGACTGAAGGATACAAATTAGAGCCTGGTTGTCTTTAGATATTGTTTTTATATATAAATATACTTTTTGTAAATGAAGACTGTGTAACGCAAGGGAAGAATTTCACTTAATCTTAGCATTATTCCAGTTGGACTTTCTGAATGATGTTATTTAAACCATGTTGCTTTAGAAAGGCAATCCCAACAAGTGTTGAATAATAGTAATAATAAACAAATTTTGAATGGTTGGATTGTGTGTGGATTACTTTGGAACCCCGCAAGATAATAATGAGTCCGAAGCCTTCTTCTGCAGGGATGCCATGGCAGAGTGTCATCAATGTGGTTGGACTCTGATTCCCATTATCCTTGATCATTGGCTATGCTGGCTGGGGCTGATGGGAGCTGTAGTACAATGAACATTACTTGGACTGTTAATGGTTCTAATAAGGTTTTTTTTTTTTTTTTTAAAAGGGAAATAACCCACGATTTGAGTGATAAGCAAAACTATCTGCTGCATTCATTCAGTTACTTGCTGAGAGAGAACATATTTTCAGAAGTACATTTCAAATGTATGCCCAAAACATTAAAAAAAACCTTCTACATGACAATTTATTGTCTGGGAATGTGAGAACCTTGGGAGTGGTATTCTATTTCCAAACATCTCCAGTTCCTGCTGTCTTTTCTATTGCTGCAAGGTTGAGGCTCTAAAAGTTTGGATCAGTCGACAAGCCTTGGCTTTGTGAAAATTATGGAAAAGCTAATAAAGAAAGAATCCATGAAAATCAGTTGCTTTGGTCAATATATTTCCCCTAAACATCCATAATGGGCCAATCTTGAAAGAAAATTCTTTCTTTCTTTGGGAAGACAGGTAGATTTACCTTCTCTTGCCCCAATGGTTTGCATCAGTTGACAGACTCCAGACTCCATAACTGGTAACTTTGAAATCCTTTTAAAGTAATATCTAGCATTTCCCCATATCCCTATCTTCATATGTGTGCAGCTGTGCACTGCACAAGAATCCTATGGCTCCACTCCCCACACCCTGAGCAATATACGTACATATCCATGCTTTGATATTTGTATACTTGTTTTCTTATATGATCAAACTGTTTTACACAGATTTTCTTGGTAGAGCACATTATCCCCATTTAACAGACGAGGGAAGGTATGCTGAGGCTGATTGTACCTTACCACCTTGTGCATTCAGAGTAATCTGAGGTTTGAGTAAGAGACTTGTTGACTGGGAGTTTATGTGATTAACCACTGCATTACCTTTTCTCAGTTTATCCTTTATATTAAAATGGGAAATGAAAAGTTGTGGATCCAAAATGGTGGTCAAAAGGTTGACAGTTTGGTTACCTAGATTCTTATCTAGTTGTTTGACTTTTAAAATATGTAAAATGCACTGGGACCTGCAGATAAATATTTCTATATATTTCCATGGCTGCTGAAATGAATCAAATATATATCTGAATAATCTGTACTTGAATAATCAGACAAATGGGTAGTGGGCAGGGGAGCAATAAAATGAATTAAATAAATATCTAAATTTCAGATAAAATATCTGCCACAAAAAAGTAATGAAATAAAATGAAATAAAATACATATTCTACATATTTATGCAAGAGACAGAATTGTACTTCTCTTTTTACTGACAATGACAAAACTAAATACCTTTCAGGTTGTTGTGTTCTATTTATTTCTTCTAAAATATTTTTCATTGCCTTCTTTTACCTCATCAGCTATTGTCCAGAACAATTTTACTAGCATGTTAAATATGTAAGCATACTTTTTCATTTTCAACCATCATTGCCCACCTTTGAAGCTAAAGGGGTAGCTTTTTCAAAAAAACACACCCTACAATATACAAATATACAAATGATATATAAATATATAAATACATATATTTACCTCGTTGAATTTCCAATAGTTGCAGGCCTCAACCAATCACCTTTATATATATATTTTAAGCATGTGCAGTTTTCAGCATTCACAAGCTATTCGGTATCTATGGAAGAGCTGGATATAGAACTTTAGAACACATAAATAACATCAAACCTCAGAGTCACATCTGAAGAGATGCTGATGGAGAGGGGAACATATTCTGTTTTCTACAGAGAGCAGGAAGGAGTTGCATGGAACAACCAGCATGTGAATATGTGCTGCAAACCAAATTTAGGGAAGGCCACCGCTTTCTCCTCTTCATGTGATAGATAGCTCATAACTATCATGCCATTTCTGGGCTGCAGCTCTGACCTTTTGCTTTAAATCACATGTCGAAATGCACCGTAAACCCCCCAGAATAGCATGGCACTGTTTCACTAATTTGATAATGTGCAAGGTGTCATGGAAAAGCAGTGTTTAGACAAAACGGTTCGTTAATTTAGAATTGTCAAACATCATAAGGTGCAGAGTGCAAGAAATTCAACACTAGCAAATCCTACCATGACATTTTAGATTAGATGATGTGGTCGGACAACCACCTGCAGCTGTACGTCAAGTCTTAGTGCAGGCATATGGCTTGCAAAGCAAATAGATGCCCATGATTTTCTATGGTGGAATATATAACCAGGAATGGAGGATTCTGTCAGTTTTGGTTTCTCTCACTTTCCCCATCTTAAATTCAGTTCACTATATTTCCTCATCAATTTGAAATTTTTAAAAAGGCTGTACGAAAATTCAGTGGCATTTGAGTGCACATTTCTCCCAATATACCATTCTTTTCTATGCAGTTTTGCCTAATATGCCATTTTTTGGCAAGTATTTCCCCCTAATATAATGCATTTTTAATGCAATCTTCACAGATATATGCACTTTTATCCACACTTCCCCGATATATGCTTTTTTGAAACTTCGGATGCATGTTCATCAACTGTCTTCAGCCATTCACCACAGAAAAGACTCGATACAAGGCCATCTTCAAACTTGGCAGTCGTAACAATATTCTTATACATGACAATTTGGCACCATTTGGATTAGTACCCAAAGAAGCAAGAAACAATAGCACAACAGGAGCTAAGCTTTGAGGTTCTCTTCTTCGGGACATGATGCAATGGTGTTTAGAGGCAGGGGACCGCGTTAAAACGACGTCTTCTAATGGCAAGATGTGCTCTCTGTCTAGAACAAATAAACATGCATCCTGTTTCACTCTTTCCTGTGTCACCTCTTATTGCCTCCCATAGGAACACAGCTGCCTTACACTGTGACAGACCATTGGTCCATCTAGCTCAGTATTGGCTATATTGGCTGTGGCTCTCCAGGCTTTCAGGAATACTAGTCCTACCTGGAGATGCTGGGGATTGAAATGGGGACCTTCATGCAAAATAGATGCTCTACCACTGAGCTACAGCCCACCCCTGGTGCTTATAATATTGCTTACAATACGGAGAACAAGAACATATGCATGCAGTTAAAGGAGACATCCCAGAGGGGCTGGACTGAGAACGAATGGTGGGGACCACCCCCCGTCTTCTCCTGAACCTTCCGGAGAAAAGGAGAACAGTATAGATTTACATCAGCGGTTTGCAGAAGGGCATAGTTCAGAGGCTGCAGAGGGCAGAAGCTGGGAAATATTGGAAAAGGATCATCAGGAAGAAGCAGCAGCACCAGGGGACAGACAGCTGACAGACTCAGTGTCCTTGGAAAGCATTCCTGACCCCTCCTTCTCCCCAGGACCAGACGGGCATTGAGGTAGTAGAACAGAGAGCTCAGCGGCAGAAGGCTCAGATTAGCCTATGCAGGACTGACGTAGATTAAGGGAGACGAATGGGGGTGGGTCTTTACTTGGAGCAACACCATCATTGCATAGAGACTACATCCCTTTGTCTTTCTCTGTGAATACTGAATAAATTACGTAGTAAGGACTCTTCGTGTTATCTGCTTTTTGGGGGGAGGGCTGTCACCGGTGGAGGGATAGTGTTCCCTGAGCCTTGACACCTCTGTATAACCGCCTTGATTAAGATGCTAGTGTGCCACATCCTACCTGAATCACTGCAAGTTTGTTTCACAGCTCCCTCTGATAATGTAACACTCTGCGGGCCACATTCAATGTTATGCAAATGTAAGCCATCTCCCATAATGGAGATCTGCCAACCCTTCTCCTACTGCAATTCACTGTCCCGTTTGAAAAGCCTCTCCTGAGCGTTGGGGATTGGGCATGGTGATGGCAGTAGGAAAGTTGGAATTCAGGGGCAGGGCTGCCTTCTTGCTTGCTCACCCAACGCCTGTGCTGACTTTGATTCCAGGCAGCTCTGGACTGTCAACAGAGTCCAAGCCAGCAGTCTAGCATGTTTTGATCTTTGTTTTATACATTGCACATCAATACATCCACTCTCATTTCTTTTTGCATCATTATTGTTGGCAACTTTGAACTGCAAGAGACAAGAAGAGAATTAATTCTGAGATCTTAATTAGAAGAGAAAATCCCTCATGCCAAATGTTAAAACTAACAGTTGAATAAATCCTGCAATAATTTGTTCCAGGCTTGTAGACAGAATGCAATTTTTATTTTAATGTCTTCAGCTATTTCGGTTTTCATAAATTAATGTATCATCAATAACAATCTGCAATACACAAGTTTGCCTACAGCATTAGATCATTTAAAAATGATCTAGCAAAGAGATGTGGTATTCCCAGATGCTCAATGCAAAGTTATTAACTTTTGCTTTATTTCTTTCACACACTCAGTCACATTTATTCGCTCCAATCCATTTTAGTCAGCCAAAGCAAAGGAGTGAGCCAGATATGAAGAGATAACAGAACTATCCATCATTCACTTATTTATTTCATCATCAAAATCAATATATAGTCATTCAGAAGGACCAACTCTAACCTTCATCTTATTGTTCTTGATTTGCTTCTTTTTCAAAAGTTTCACTCTTCAATATAATCCTTGAAGCTGAAATACTTGTGGTGTATTTTTACACAGAGTGGATTGATCCAGGACCTCTGTTACCCCTGGGTTTTCTAGTGCCAATACAATGTCAAGTGTAATGAGTTGCTGTTGCTGGTGATGGTGATGGAAGGGGTGGAAAAACCGTGGCCCTTCAGACATTTTTGGACTCCAACTCCCATCAGCCCTAGCCAGAGTGGCCAGTGGTCAGGGATGATGGGAGCTGGAGGCTAATGCCATCTGGATTTTCCATCCATGTTCTTATCTAATCCCATGTCCTCAGACAGAAAATACTATATCTATAGCATCCCAGGCAGACAAAAATATTGAAGACTCCCCTCGCACATCAATTTATCCCGTGCTGCATTGCTTAAAAGAAGTATCTCCTAATCTTTAACAGTATACAGTGGTACCTCGGGTTAAGTACTTAATTCGTTCCGGAGGTCCGTACTTAACCTGAAACTGTTCTTAACCTGAAGCACCACTTTAGCTAATGGGGCCTCCTGCTGCTGCCGCGCCGCCGGAGCACGATTTCTGTTCTCATCCTGAATCAAAGTTCTTAACCTGAAGCACTATTTCTGGGTTAGCAGAGTCTGTAACCTGAAGCGTATGTAACCTGAAGCGTATGTAACCCGAGGTACCACTGTATTTCCCTCTAATTTAAAACCAATGGATTTCATTCTGTTAGGTGAAGGCAGTTCTTTTTCTTCTTTCTGACATCCTATAGGGAAATATTTTAATGTGTCCCTTCTAATTTTTCTGTATGTCAAGCAAAACTGTTTCCCCCATATGACTGAATATCCTTGTTGCTTTCTTCAAAATCCTTCCTAACGTGTCAACATATTTTCTAAACTTACATTGCTTAGGGCTGATCACAGGACTCCAGGTTTTACTGTTGCTGAACAGAGAGCATCAGTATAGTCTCTGCATCTTCACTGTCTCACCTCCATTGTGGAAGACCAACAGTTTGCACAGGTTTGAACAGGTTTGTAGGTGACCTGGGTGGAGGGGCATGTGAGTGAGTCCAATACCATAGCATCCTCAGCCATTGTGTGCAAAATAAGTCATGCTCTGCCCCAACTCTGCTAAGTTTAATTTTGCATAATTAAAATGCAAAAAGTAACTACAGATGTACAGGTTAAATAGTGATATACATTGAAACAGTAGGCACAGCACTTTTCATCAAATATCATTAACCAAGTCATAAGGAAAGCTCTGACTTAATGAGTTATAAAAGTTTCCATATGAATGCAATAATCATTTACAGTTCCTTTTGTTGCACAGTCCGTTTATCCCTAATGCACCTTTTCAAAAACTGCTATTCCTGTATAGTGATTTTTGAATGATTTTGTCACAAGTTTGTCTATTCAGAAAATAGTGCCCTTGCTCTGAATTGACTTCATTTGACTCAGGGACATCATCACACGGCCAAAAATGATTGGCTGCGTAGCATCACAGTACTGTCCTATTTATTATAAGATCCTTGCTTGACCAGAATCACTCATTTATAATTCAGGAAGCATCACCCTCACTTTAAATTAACTTCATTTGACTCAGTGATGTCATCACAGGGCCAAATAGCATTGGTTAAGTAGCCTCATGAAGTCATTCCAGGCACTACCTAATTCTTGATTGGCTGGGGTAACCTGTTTGGCTAATCCATGTAGACCAGTGATGGCC